TTTTTTTTTTTTAAGATTTTATGTATTTATTTGACAGAGATCACAAGTAGGCAGAGAGGCAGGCAGAGAGAGAGAGGGAAGCAGGCTCCCTGCTGAGCAGAGAGCCAGATGCAGGGCTCAATCCCAGGACCCTGAGATCGTGACCTGAGCTGAAGGCAGAGGCTTAACCCACTGAGCCACCCAGGCGCCCCTGGGCATGATACCTTTTACAAACTGTAATCCTCCTCTTCAGCGAGGTCGGCCCGCTCCCGGATGGCTGGCCCCCGTCTGCCTGCGGGTGCTGGCTCTCTGAGCCCGGGAACGTCTGCACACACAGCTCCCCAGGAAATTGGAGGCAGAGCTGAGGATCGGAAATCCAGTCTCCAGAGCAGCTAACCCCTGGCTTAGCCCCTGGTCCCCTTGGGGCTTCCCTCTGGGGACTGAATACCTTTCGCACTCTTGGCACAGCCCCAGGACACCCACCCACTTGTGGATTGGAAGCTGCATGTCATCAAGCAGTGGGGAGTGCTCGTGGGGCTCCTCCAGGATGGCGTGAGAGCCCTGAGTGACCGAGGCTGCCCCGGCTGCGGGCGTGATGCACCCGCATGTGCCTTTGACTGTGGGCTAGTCCCCTCGTCCCCTCTTCCCACCCCTTGATAAATAAGAGCTGTTTTTTCCATGTGGTGTTTGTCTCTGCACAAACGCAGAGGTCTGAGCACCACGAAGCTTATCTATACAATGGACTTCCTGCTGGTGTTGGATCTGCCCCACTCCCCTCCGGGTCATAAATTTATGTCGCCTGAGCACACTGATCTGCTGACGTCCGTGATGCTGGTGGCCTTGGCAGACCCCAGCTCCCCCTGCCTGGGTGGGAAATGCAGACGCAAACCCGGGATGACATGAGCTGAACATCCCAGTGACCGACGGACAGCCAGAACTGGGTGGGCGGGGCAGTTGTGAGAAGTTCTTTCTTTCATCAGCTGTTTATTGAAGCCTCCTGTGTGCCAGGCCAGGTACTGGGCCCTGAGCATACAGAAGTGCGGAGGATGTGGGGACAGCTTTGGAGGAGCATTCCCGCTGGCCTGGGAGACAGATGTGGGTAATTATAACACGCAGAGCTGAGTTCTGGGGTAGCATTAAGGACAGAACCTGTGGACGGAATGTACAGTGTAATTTGGGACTCAAGAAAGGCCTCGAGGCTGAGTTTTAATGAAAAGTCTTCTCTCCTTGGCAACAAATCCTCAGCAGTGAGAGCCCAGATGGGGGTGGGAAATGTGGGGAGTTTTTTCAGCTTGAGTTATCACAACTCTTTGCACCTGTGGTCTGTTTGCCCCAAGTCCACCATCCAGAGCATCACCTGTGGGCACACTGGGGGCGGCTGCCTTCTCTCTTGTTCTCTGACCAGACCCCTTGGTGGCTGCAGTTTTCCGTCCCTGCTCAGAATTCTGAGTTCCCATGTTAATCATAACAAGTGTCCTCTGAGAGGAGCTGTGGGGCCTCTGCCAGCAAGCCTTCTCGCCTGTTTTGATAACATCTGCACTGAATTTTCTCTCTTTGTATAATTAGGTATTTGCTTTGACTTGAGATTACAGTGTGACTGGTGTCTCCGAAATTTCAGGCCTGAAGTATATGCTGGGGCCCAGAGTGGTGGGAAAACGAAGCTTTCGCCCGTGGGGTTTCAGGTTCAGTTGGGAGGGTGGGCAACAGTACGCTGGCTGCTGTTGGCATGAAATCTAACCAGCAGCCCCCCGACGGGTGGGAAAGGGAGCTCCTGCCTTGCTCCGGGAGCAGTGTGGGGTCAGGCCTGGTGGACAGAAGGACGCAGGACGGCAAGATGGCTCCCTCTCATTCTCTTCCTGCCCTTCTTCCCCCCAACATCCTCCCACCCCCGCAGCATCCCTGGCCCCGGAGTGACAGGACTCAGCAAACAGGAAAAGATGCACTAACTGCTAAGAAATGCAGTGAATCCAGGCTTAACCCCAACGGCAACCTCAGAGTGTCAGGGCTTGGAATCTTCCTTTACAATGCCCGTCATGGTCTGGCTATGTCAAGCCAGAGGAGCTGTTTTGGGTGTGAGATAAGGAGTGGTTCTCTCTTGTCTGCTCCAACCAGAAAGGAAGCAAAAGGATTTGCATACCCGCTCCGCGACATCTCTGGAGTGAGCTGTATCTCAGCAGTGACTTCATTTCCCCTAACGGGGTTTCCACAAACCCCCTGGAAGGTTCCATCCAGCAAGCCACACTGATTGTGGTGTGGGAGTTTCTGATAGGCTTGTTTGTACTTTCCCTTGGAGACCCCAGAGACCCCAGGGGAGTGATAACTGGATGATGGAATATTTGCTAGAGGAAGGGAAATGCATTTTTTAAAGATAAGGTTTGATCCTGAGCAGAGGGGAAGTTCCCAGATGCCTCTGTAATGTTGAGCAGTGAGGTGTCCGCATAGGTCTCCTTCCCTGTGGCCTTGCTGGAGTGGCCTCAGGGCTCCCACCCCAGGGGGATTCTGCCTCTTGAAGGTGCTTCAGGGGCTTCCCGGGGGGTAGGATGGGTATGGCCCTACCACACCCATGGGAACCTCTGACTCTCTCATCTGGAATACAGCTGTTTCCCTCTGTCCTTACACAGTACTGGTGACTTTGTTTAAGTAGAAGGGCTTTGCCCCGGACAAAAGGTTAGGTCATTCCATGTTGTTCCTTCTCTCCTAATAGGGCTTGTAGCTTCCTTGAGGAAGACCCTGATCTTGCTCAACACTGCAGTGTCCACTGAGACCTAGTTGCGACCTGTGTAGAATCTGGTTCTGTCAGCCTCCGCTCGCATGGCCCCAGTGTCTGCGGGGTTAAGGTCATACTCCCTCACTTGGTGTTTAGGACCTTCAGCATCTGGCTGCGGACTGACCCTCATCTCTTTCCTCTCCCTCCTCTCCCTCTCCCAAAGTCTCCTCCGTTCCATCCACCTGGAACTTCTTTCTCTTGGAATGGGTGACCCCTCTGCAGAAGTGTTCTTCCTGCTCTTTATTCCTGGCAGAAGTAGGACAGAAGTAATAGTTGCAGCATGATGGGCTCTGGAGTGAGACCACCCAGGTCTGCCTCCTGGTTCTGTCCCTTTGGATCTGGGAAACCAGGGGCCCATTACCTAGCTGTGTCGTGCCTCAGTTTTCCCATCTGTGAAATTAGGATAATAATAGTTTCTCCTTCTCCAATGTGTTGGGGGTACTAACTGCTAAAACACATGACGCATGTGAACTGAGTGTCTGGCACGTAGTAAATGTTCAACACATACAGGCTCTGGTGACGGTGATGGTGAGGATGGTGGTGACGGTGATCATTGTTAAAGACCTTCTTTGCGAAGTCTTTTCTAGCTCATCAGGCAGAGTCAGCATCTCCTCTTCAGGGCTCCCAGTAGAACCAACCACAAAGCGTTCTGGTTTCTTACCCCACAAGCCTGAGTTTGCCACTAGATGGAGAGTCCCTAGAAGACAGGGACTGGGTCTCAGTGATAAGAGCGAGAGTGTCTACCCTAGTGTGTACCAAACTCCGAAATATGAGCTTTTTCTTATCCTGTAAGTACTTTATGAAGATCTAATTCACATACCATATCATTCACCCTTTTAATGTGTGTAATTCAATGGTTTTAATATATTCACAAAGTTGTGCAACCACCACAACGACTGAATCCTAAAATATCACCCTAAAAAGAAACTGCACAGCAGGGAGCAGTCCTTCCCCACTGCCTTCCCCCGCCCTGTCAACCACTAATCTCCCTTTGGTCTCCATGAATTTGCCTATTCTGGACATTTTCTGTAAATGGAATCATACCGTCTCTGTCCCTTTGTGTCTGGTTGCTTTCATTTAGCATGACGTTTTCAAGGTTCATCTCTAGCTCAGTAATTCGTTCCTTTTTGGAGTTGAATCATCCCTTGTATGGACATACCACATTTTGTGTCTTTATCAATTAGTGAACTTTTCAGTTGTTTCTGTTTTTTGGCTATAATGAATAACGCTGCCATGAACATTCATGTGCCCATCTCCATGTGGATGTATGTTTTCATGTCTCTTGGGCTGATGCACAGGAATACAGTGGCTGGCTCGTCTGGCAACTCTGTTTAACTTTTTGAGGAAACGCCAAACTGTTCCAAAGCATCTGTACCATCCTCATGGCTGCCAGTGACGAGTGTGGGTTCCAGTTTCTCCACATCTTTGCCAACACTTATTTTTGTCTGTCTTTTTGATGATAGTCACCCTAGTGGGTATGAAGCAGAATCTCATTGTGGCTTTGATTTGCATTTCCTTGATGGCTAATGACTCTGAACATCTTTCCCAGTGCTTATTGGCCACTTGTATGTCTTCTTGGAAAAAATTTCTATGGGGATTATCTGCCTGCTCTTTAATTGGGTCCTCTTTTTTTTTTTTTAAATTATTAAGTTGGTAAATTCTTTACATATTTTGGCTACTAGTCCCTTATCACATTTATGATTTGCAACTATTTCCTCCCATCTGTGGGCGGTCTCTTTGCTTTCTTATGGTGGGCCTTTCAAGCATAAAAGGTTTTAGGAATGAAGTCCAATTTATCTCTTCCTTCTTGCATTGCTGGTGTGAGGGTTATCACATCTAAGAAACCATTGCCACATCTGCGGTCACAGTGATGCACCAGAGCTTTTTAAAAGCAGTCTTATTTTTGATAACTCTGTGAGGAAAGAGTAGTGTACCCATTCCCAGATGAGGAAGCTAAGAGGTCAAATGCCAGAGCTGGGCTTTAAGCTCAGGTTAGTCTGACTCAGAACCTCAAGTGTATCTTTTTGTGCCTCCCCACCAAGTCCCTGGACTTCTGTGTCTTTTCCAGGGTTTGGTACGGGGACTGGTTAGGCCCACAGGTGAGGTACCTTGGGTGGATGAATGGCAGGTCCTAACTGGTGCTTCGTTTACTACTTGCTGGTTCATTTGAGTGGACCCGTTAGCTGTTGGCAAGGGGTTTGTGTCCATAGTGCTAGTGGTCACTGAACGTCTCTCTCCTCTCTTACCGCTGCAGTGTCTCATCATTGGGGGAGGACCATGTGGTTTGCGCACTGCCATTGAACTTGCCTACCTAGGGGCCAAAGTGGTTGTGGTGGAGAAGAGGGACACCTTCTCCAGGAACAACGTGCTGCACCTGTGGCCTTTCACCATCCATGACCTGCGGGGCCTGGGAGCCAAGAAGTTCTATGGGAAGTTCTGCGCTGGCTCCATTGACCACATCAGTGAGTAGAGCCCATGGGGCCAACCCTGGGTGGGGCACATCTCTCCACACTGAGTCTCCAGGATGTTCCAGCTTACACATCCGTAAGCTGAATGTACGGGGGTCCGTACGTTCGACCGGCAGACATTTCATGAAGGGCCTGCTCTGTGCCTTATGCTAGTTCTGGGCTGCGTCTGCCCCACCGAGCTGTAGGCACCATGAAGTTGGGGCCTGTGGTGTGCCCCGCTCACCGGAGTGTCTCAGGGCATAAAGGGGTGCTTGACACATAGTAGGTGCTCAGTCAACTTCTGCTGAGTGAATGGATGAAATATGGGGAACAGAATCAGAGGTGGGTAACACGGTCTGCACTCGCAGAGAGCTCACCGAGATCTTGTCAGGGATTAACTGCACGTTAACAGAGCCATCAGACTCGCTAGGGGGTTCAGATGAGGGAGGCACACAAAACCATGAAACGGGCCAGGGTGTCGAGCGCCACGTGGACGTTGTGCTGCTGGTTCTGGGGAAAACCGTGGTAGGTTTTAGAAGAGGAATGACACAGTTGACAGCACCGGACTAAGTTTCCTTGCATTTTAAAAAGAGGGAGGACATCATGACAGGGGTTCACCCAGTCAAGGAGGGGGAAGTAGGAAACACGGATTTCAGGCCCTGGGCCAGCCCTGCAGCCGAGCACACTCAGGGGAACATCCAAGCCCTTCTGCTCTGTGTTATTCCAGAGTGGGTCCCCTGAGGCAAGTTCTGTGCAGAGAGGCTGTGGCAGAACAGACTTCCCTCTCGTGCTGAGCAGGGAGGAGGCCTTTAGCCATTTCATATATAAAACTGTGTCCTATAAATGTCAGGGAGGTTAACACTGTGGGGAGAGTTCAAGGGCTTAGACAGATCCGGGCTCCAAATCTGTCTTGCCCATTTGCTGTGGGACTTGGGTCAAATTCCTTACCTTCTGCAAGTCCCATGTTTTGTCTCCCTCACATGTGATGAATGCCTGCCTCCCAGGACCACTGAGAGGATCAGGTAGGTGAGGTCTAGTTTGTGATGTGCTCACCACTGTGCCTGCCCGGTAGTAGGGACTCGGAGAATGCTTTGCCTCCATTGGTGTACAGCAAGCAAGAGGAAGAGGCAGCTGGGGTCCCCAGCTTCAGGTTCCAGAGCTGCCTTCTTTCAACCCGTGGGGGGCAGGAGAGCCCTGAGAGCCATGTTCTCACGAGGACGGGAACTGACAGGAAAGGGTGTGGGGCTCAGAAGAATGACTGAAGACAGTGGTCAGCCACACAGGGTGTAGTTTAGTCACGGGTACATGGGAACCTATCAGCAGTGGCCCCAGACTGTATTCCCACTCTGGGATGAGAAAATTCCAGGAGTCCGTTGGAAAGAGATTTGGGTTTACCCAGAAGGCTGCAGTGTCAGCTTTCGGGAATATTCTCTACCACCCACAGAAGAATGTATGTTGGTGCCCAATTCAGAACTACAGCATTGAGCACCACTTTCCCACTGAGCGCTCCTGAGAGGCAGAGCTGGGCACCACGGGACCTTGCAAGCGCCCCCTCTGTTGAGCTGCCTTCCCTGCTGGTTGGGAGCCCCTCTCTGCCCCATTGATGGGGCTCCCATTTAATCCCTAGTTCTCAGAAAATTCCCCATGTTCAGAAACCCTGGCAAGACTCCGGATCTGAGATTCTGACATTTGGGGCACTCATTGTTAAGATGGGTTCCATTGGCTATGAGAAGGGAGGCAGGGAGAATTTGATGAACACCTACTGTGTGTTAGAACAAGCTAGATTAGGAGCCTTGAAATGAAGAGGAGAGGCCAGGCCACTGCCTAGGCCTGTTTCCAGGCAGGAGGGGGATCAGATTCTTTAAGCCCCAGCTGACTGGCTTCCTTTCAGACCGATGCTGGTCTCCAGCCCCAGCTGCGCCCCAGCCCCCAGCACGCCTCAGCAGTTCCCAACTGTCCTGTGTCAGCATCCTCCTCCCCTTCCCATGTGCTCGCTCCAAAACTCCTTCTGAGCAAATGGCCTTCCTCCTCTGCTCTGGGGAGGAGAAGCCACTGGCGGGCACTCCCAGCGCCAGCCCCTCTCCGTCCTCCTGCACTGGCCTCCATCTGAGTTCCCCTTCCTGCCCTCCCTGCCATGTCTGAGGCTGAGCAGATTGCTCAGCTCCACTCTGCTCCCTCTTGGTTTCCTGCCCCTTACCTCGCTGGCCCCTCCCCTCTCTTACTACCTTAAGTTTTTTCTATTTCAAAACATTTACTGTAGAAAGAGGGGATATCGACTTTGTCTTTGCGTCCCACCCATGACTCCTTCCATTGAGATCTGACTTCTTCCCCACCTCCTGTGAAGGAGATTTTCGCTGAGATTTCCACTCCTAGAAGCCTCCTAACTCCCAAGTGCCCTGGCCTCTTGCAGCCGTCATAGTCCCTAATTTGTCTGTGGGATTTGGTACTCTATTGGCTTCCTGGACTGCAACTCCGGCCCTGTTCTGCTACTCCCCTGCACCGCCCCCGCCCCCCCGACCATGGTGGCCTGCCCTCACCTGTCCACTTGTGTTTCCTCCACTAGAGTGGGTTCTGTGTCTCTATGCCTACCATGGCACCTGGCCCACTGTAGATGCTCAATAAATGTTAAGTGAACAAAGCTCACAAAATACAGAGAGTTTCGCCCTCTACAGTAGAATATTCAGAGACAGACCCATGTGTGCTGAATGACCAGGGATGAGTTAGTGACACTCATCGGGGGAGTTGGGGCAATGGGTACGAGGTGACTTACCATGAGTCCAGCTTTGTGGAGAGAAATCCCCCTTCATGCTGACCCTGGATGGCTAAGGGCTTAGGCCCAGTCCCCCACAAAATGAGCCATTTCGTCACTGACTTTACTTGTGGCCATTATTCTCCAGGTCTACTCCTCTTTCCATCTTTGCCTTGTCAGACCTCTGGCCCCTCTCAGGGAGGAGGCAGCAAAGGGAGAGCCTCCATCATGAGAGCATTTTCTAAAAGCTAGAGCGCAGTCTTGGAACCAGACATATCTGGGTCCATATTCTAGTTTGCTGCTGTATGACCTTGAGCAAGTCACTTCACCTCGCCAAGCCTCGGTTTCTCATCTATAAGATGGGAATAATTATCCCACAGTAAGGATTAAATGTGAAAACGCTGAGTGGCCAGTGCATAACTCGTTCTCAGTTGCGATCATCATTGGTCTGTTGCTCTGCTCAGAGATCAGTGAGGAGCGATTATAGAGTACCCTGCATACAGGAGGCACTCAAGCATGGCTGCTGATACCTCTTCTCTTTCCCCCTTCCTACCTAACAGGCATTCGTCAGCTGCAGCTCATCCTATTCAAGGTGGCCCTGATGCTGGGAGTTGAAATCCACGTGAACGTGGAGTTTGTGAAGGTTCTAGAGCCTCCTGAAGATCAAGAAAATCAAAGTACAGTACAATCTTCCTCTTATGTCTACAAGTCAGATATTGGCAAGTGGAGATCACATTTGCAGCTCTCAGAGAATGTTCCCATAAGAGTTACTCTTGTTGGGAGCTATTGGGCATAATCCCATCAAAGGGCGTTTTACCTTTTCTGCCCAACGCAGCCACCTTAGGTTTGCTCTTCTCCTCCCAGGGCAGTTATTAAGCTACTAAACCTATCATTTGGTTACCGTGTCAGTGGGAGGTGGTACTTTGACAAACGAAGTACTAGGTAATTAGGATAGAAGATCTAGATTCGGTTGTTTGTTGGAAGTTCATTCCTAATTCTTCAGGCCGCGTGGGAACACACATGGACATGTGGCTGCACTTGTGCCCACGTGATATTTTAAAATCCAGTAAAGAAAAAAAAAAAAGTGAAGCTTCTTGAACAAACATGAAATAAGGGCCCATGATATTATTTGGTATGTAATTATTTTAAAGCCTTTCTGAAGCATAGCTTACCAACCACGGAAGTCACCTGTGGTGGGTAATGTCTTATTTAGCCATGTTGCTCTTTTTCCTTATAGTATATGTTCATGTAGGTGCTGATCTCACGCACACTGTGGTCCGAGAGTTTGCTCTTGATGCCTCTGCACCTTATCTCTTACCAAAAGCTGCTGCTGCCTGGGTAGGGCTTGTGGTTTGGGTAGCTTCGTGTCGGAGACCTCAGAGTCTCATGGGCTCATTAGGGCTCTGACCTCTCCTGTCCTCCATTCAAAACATTCCAGAGTGTAGGAGAAGTGTTCAGTGGCCTTTGTAGCAGGACAACATCTTTTAGGGACCTTCCAGAGATACGTGTGCCCTTAGCCTCTCCCAGACCCAGTTCTGGATGACCAGCAAGGTTTCACCTGGAAGTGTTCCCATCAAAGGCTCTGTGCTGCCCAACAGAACATTTTGAGTGTAATGAAGTGGGAATTCGAATTGGTTTCAGGACACCCTGCACATCCATCATTTGGGTCTGGTCAGTAATGAGAGGACAAGGAGGATTGTATGGGAGTATGAAGAGAATGTGGTAGAGTGCACTGAGACAAAGAGGGTTCAAGTGGGACTGGCCTGAGGACCATTGATAGACTCCCAGCCTTTATAGAAACCGGTTAAATCAGGCATGGGGTGGGCGCTGCTGGTTTACCTTCTCCTGGATTGAATGGATACTGAAGCCAGAAGGTCTCCAGATGCAAGTGTGAATCAGGAGAACTCTGGGTCTTTCCCTGGCAGATCTATCTGGGGTTCCTCTACCTAGAGATATCCCCTTTCCCCTGGCCAACACTGCAGGGACCTCCCACCTTTCTCTGCCAACTCAAACCATTTTTCTGTTTTGGTAGAAATCGGCTGGCGGGCGGAATTTCTCCCTGCGGACCACTGTCTGTCGGACTTTGAGTTCGATGTCATCATTGGTGCCGACGGCCGCAGGAACACACTGGAAGGTGAAGACTCCTTTTTCCTGGAGCTGAGGATGGGGGCCTTGGGACTGGGAGGGGGCTGCAGAATGGCGCCCTTGACAGAAGGGCAGACTGTCCTGCCAGGCCTGAGGCTGAGCATCGAGAGGGCAGGCGTTCAGGTCTCTGAACCATCAGGCTTCCCACCTGTAAAATGAAGATAATAGAATCTTGTCATGAGGGCTATGAAAGGACTCATATGTAAAAACGCTTTATAAAGGTAAAGTGCCATGGCAATTGCGAGTCAGCATGCATTTATGGAGCCCCTGTCAGTGAGTCCATGGTACCGAGCACTCCCACGCTTACTTCATCCAGCTAAGACAACCATTCTTAGACTCTCGGTGGCCTTCTTCTTCTGTCACGTGTAATACCCCAGCAAGAAGGGCCCGTCTCTTCTGTAACTTATAAGCACAGTCATTGCTGGGCAGTAAAATGAGCTTTTCCCCAGACTGTCAGGGTGCAGAACCATGCTTCTCTGAATTCTGGAGTTGGAAGCATAACATGTTTTCTTGGAGTAAGATCTGGTCAAGTTGGGAGAAGAGCGCCACCACCAGAAATGTCTTCAATCCCCTAGCCCTTCCCCCAAAGAGTAATTGACGCTGAGATTGTACTAATTGGCACTAACTGTATGAACAAGAGACCACAGATGGCGGACGGAGGGGTCCCACATGGCCTCTCAGGCTGGCAGCTAGATCTGCTCTTCAAGCTTGCCCTGCTCGAGGGCTGCAGACTGCCGGTTTCTGATGAAGAGGGCACGTCCTCCAAGGACAGAACATACTCCTGGAAAGAGGGCTGATGCCTGAGGTTTTGGGAGGTGTGGGTTGCCTCGCTGCGTTCTACCCACCAGCTGTGCCCACCAGGACCCTTTCCCCACTCCTTTGCCTCTCTCTTTGCCTCCATCCCTACATTTGCCAGACCCCTGCAATCAGTAACCCATATCTGACAAAGCTTTTTTAAGCTGTTAACCTGGATGTTGTGCTGCTAGAATTTTGGGGGCCATTTTGATGGTTGGGTACAACTGCAAGTCTGGATATTTGTAAATCCAAAATCCACACTTTGCCTGAGTATAGTTAGGCATTTCATGGATAGGAAAAGAAGGGTAAGAAGAAGGAGAGCCATTTAGGCAGCTTAGCACCAAATAAGTAGACTAGAGTGTGAGTTTCTCTATGTTGGCCCTACTGACATATGAGGCCAGATCATTCGTTGTCCTGCTCCCGGTAGGAAGCTTAGCGGCATCCCTGGCCTCTCCAGGCCAGACTCCAGTAGCACAACTGCCTCACCCAACCGCCATGCCCCGTGCCAAGTTGTAGCAACCAGAAATGTCTCCACACATTGCCAAGATGCCCCTGGGGACCAGGGTCACTCCCAGTTAAGAAATACTAGACTAGACAATAATGGCCATTTTTGACCATTTCAATAAAAGTTTAATGAAGATGGACTTAAAGAGGAGGTATTGAGGAAAAAACCCCAAGGCTTCTAGTCAAAGGGAGTATTGACAAAGAAGTTTGGGAATCATCATGAGGTCTGAGTATGCGGTGAGCAAATGTAGGGAGAGTTCCGGGAGGAGGCTGAAGACAAAGGCATGTCCCGAGAGCCTGCCCTTGTGATGAGAGCCTTGAGTTAAGCAGAGTAAATAGTAGTGTCTGGGGCAGAGGGAAGATCAGGACTGTGGGATAGCCAGATGCTAGAAAGAAAGGGGATGGGCAGAAGGTGTTTCAGTGAAGTGTGACTCCTGCTTGGGATCCTCTGTGTCACCACCATTAAAAATCAAAGTTAATGTAAGCCATCAACAAGTAGAGGAACCCCAAGAATCACTGTATTAAATCAATTACAAGTTAGACTTCTGTCTCCTCATTAGATATTTACTGAGTGTGGGCTAAGCACCAACCACTGGAGACTAGAAATAGAAAATTTGTTAAAATCCCCATCCTACAGGAATTCAGTCTCATAATCCTACTTTTCAAAGGGGGGAAAACACGAAAAACACTAACAACCTAGTTTTAATCGTAAAAGTTCAAAATGCATGTATCGTGGGTATACCTAGCCACTGTGCCTAGCAAGCCTTTAGCACGATGAGCCTGCTGGGAAAATCACTTGAGCCTTTTGTCTGTAGAAGCCTCACCAGAATAATTGGTCCTATAGATTTTAGGAAGGGGGAAAGTCCCCTTGACTGAAGCCTCTGGGGATGGGTTTCTTCTTGGGGTACGAAACTTGGCCTGTCCACCTGCCCCGTTCTCCAGGCAGAACTCTGGTTTCACTGGCCTGTGAGGCATCTGAGGACCGCTTCCTCCATAATCTTTCTCAGTTTTCACACCAAATGCAGAAGAAAGACTCCCTTTTCCCCTTTTTTTTCATGCAGGATTCAGAAGGAAAGAATTCCGTGGGAAGTTGGCTATTGCCATCACCGCCAACTTCATAAATAGAAACAGCACGGCTGAGGCCAAGGTGGAAGAGATTAGTGGTGTGGCTTTCATCTTCAACCAGAAATTTTTTCAGGACCTTAAAGAAGAAACAGGTGGGACCTTCACCTTTCTCCAAACCAAACCATTGTCTGTGCCAGGCATTCCCAGTCTTGGGATTGGGAGCCTCAACTCTGATTAAGTGGAAGCAGGGACTTCTCCTTAGGATAGAAATGGGCAGGATTCCTTCAAGGACAAGAGAGATTCTCGAGGGAGAGTCCTGGATGTTGTACGTGAAAATGGATAAAGATATATATACCCAGCATTTACTCAACATGCCCGTTCAGTGCTGGTATTCAGTATCACGGGATACAAAGTTGAGGTTGGCATGGTCCGCTCCCCAAGTAGCTCCTTGTCTAGTGATGGACACCCAGGGAAACCACCCTGATGTGGAGATCGGTCTGTGCCTGAGGCAGCGTGAGCTTCAGGGAGCCTTCTGAGGAGGGAGCCAGCAACCTGGGTGGGTTCCTGAAGAAGTGTAGGTGCTTTGGTTCAGAGTGCCAGCTGTCCTTCCCCATGAAGAACATCCAGAGATACCCAGGGAATGTGTACTCCCCCCCAGGCATCAGTTGTCCCCTAGCTATGGGCCCTGATATCTTTCCAAGACACTCATTTGCTCAACAAATACTTGTTGATTGCCTGCTTGGGGCCAGATGCTGTTCAAGGGCCTGAGAAAGAGCAGTGGGCAAAACAAGACCCCTCTCTCGGGAGGGTCGGTAAACAAACAATGACGGTGGAGAGAAGGAAAGCACGGCAAGGAGAAAGAGGGATGAAACCTGCTGCCAATTAAGTAAATTCCAGATTTTTTCTTCTAACCTGGTTTAAAAATCTGTATCTCTCCTTGAAAGGCAGTGTGACGACAGAGTTAAATAAATTTTTTTTTAAATTTTATTTATTTTGAGAGAGAAGGAGTGTGAGTCACGGGAGACACAGAGGGGGAGGGAGGCGCCGAGGAAGAGGGAGAAAGAATCCTCAGGCAGACTCCCCACAGAGCAGGGAGCCTGACGTGGGGTTCGATCCCATGACCCTGAGATCGTGACCTGGCTTGAAACCAAGAGTCAGACACTTAACCGACTAAGCCAACCAGGTGCCCCTAAAATTTTTATGCTAGAAATAAATCATCCACACTCAGCATCACCTAGCACAGAAATAGTCCTCATTGCCATATACTGCTTTTTGGTAACCGTCCACTTGCACCCTCCCTTTCCACGTGACTCCAGCTCTTAGCAGAGTGTCAGTATTCTTTGTGATTCTGGTTTTCTCATGCGGCATCGCATTGTAAATATTGTCCATGTCACAGCCACGTCCCCCCGATGGTCACTTTTGCAGGCTGCAGAATGGCTCGTGAAGGGGCTGTACATCTCTGCCCAAGCATCCAAGTGGGAGGCCTGGCAAACTGTGCTTGGCCACGTGGGTCCATATTTTCCTCAAGCTAAGAACAGTCTCAATAGTTTGGAACGGCAGAAGAGAAAGCAAAAGAGTATTTTGTGGCAAATCGACAATTGTCTGGAACTCAGGTTTCCAGGTCCCTAAATAAAAGCTTCTTAGAGCACCGTCACCCCTGGTCACGCATGTCGCTGCGCATGGCAGCTCCCCTATGAATGGTTGTGGGCCCGATGGCTCGCGAAGCCTGAAATGCTTACTGCCTGGCCCTTTGTGGCAGATGCGCGCCGGCCCCTGATTTAGGCCTTTCGGCTGTTGACCATTACAGAGCACACTGCTCCTGCTGGACTCTTTCCAGTGGGGTTTTTTGGAATGGAATTCCGTATCGAGCAGACCGTGCCACTCCCTGGCCACGAGGATGTGTGCTCGTTGTCCGACTCTCTGACTTTCACCACGTGGCACGATTTAATTGAATATTTTCTTCTAGCATATTGTGTTCTTCTGCACGATTTAAGAATGAGTCCAACCCTCCCTTCCTCTCAAAAACTAAGAAGATAAATACTTCAACAAACCACCAAATATGGATTCTGACAGGACATTGAGTGTGTTTTTCCAAATGTTTCAATGAGTTTCCTTTGAATTTCGCTGTGGTAGTCACCTTTGGCCATTGTTTCACAGTGCCCCTTGCACAGTGACAACGATGAATTTCCTCCGATTCTCTGGGGGGCCCTCTCCATTGATGGCTATTTCCTTCTTAACGGTAATAAAGGGGTTCCTATGGTTACCAAGCACACCTGTGTCAACCTCTAAGTTTTGAGTCTCTTCCTTTCTCTCCCTTTGGGGCAGCTAAGCCAGTGGTTCTCAAACTGGCATGTGCATCAGAATCACCTTGTGGGGCTTATCAAAGTGCTGATTACTGGCCCCACGCTCCGTTTCTTGATGTACTAGATCCAGGGCACGGTCCTGATCCTTAGCATTTCTAGCTTCTCAGGTGATGCTGATGGTGCCAGCCAGGGGGACCCCCCTTTGAGAACCACTGAGCTAAGCTCTCACAGCATTTTTTTTTTTTTTTTTTTAACACAGAAACCTAGTCTATGAAAGTATTTTGGCAATTGCTGGAAAGTGCAAAGCTACCCAACCCAGGCCTCTAAACTGAGTTGTTCCTGCCAGGGTATCTGGGTTCCCCCACACACAAGGGTGATAGTAGAAACGTCGCTTAGCACAGTCTTGAAAGAATTCACCCAGCTCTTTGAATCTCTGGCCACATACAGGGCGTGGTGGATGGGACTTGGAATCAGACTGGTTGGGGTTCAAGTCCCAGCTCTGTTGTTGCTTGGCTGCCATGCCCCGGACCTCTCTTGGCCCTGCTATAGCACTTTGCTTTAGCCTGGAAATACGGGTCCTCAGCCCTTGAGGACATTGAGGTTTTCTTTTTTTAAAGTGTTTTCATCATGTTGCAATATATAAATATATCAAATTAACATTTTGTACACCTTAAACTGACACCGTGTTATATATCAATTACATCTTAATTTTAAAAAACATATAGTGTCTTTGGAATACCTGGGTGGCTCATTTGGTGAAACAGCTGACTGTAGAGTCTGGACCCTGATCTCAGGGTCCTGGGATCAAGCCCTGTGTCAGACTCCTAGCTCACAGAGGACTCAACCTGAGGATTACCTCTCTCCCTTTGCCCCTCCCCCTGCTCCCACGTGCACGTGCTCTCTCTCCCTCCCTCTCTCTAAAATAAATCTTAAAAAAACAACAACCCCAAGACAGTGTCTTAGTGGTACGCTAAAAGCTAGCTGTGTGGAGATGGGTAAATTCTAGCCCTCAGTGTTATCTTATTCAGGCTTGTGTGTTTTAAAAACTTGCTTAATGTAAATACATGCAGGTAAGTAATGACACCTGTGCTGGGGCAAGGCCCTGCGGGAGTCAGACTGAGTCCATGCACGCTTCTCTTCACAGGGATTGATCTTGAGAACATTGTTTACTATAAGGACTGCACCCACTATTTTGTCATGACTGCCAAGAAGCAGAGCCTGCTTGACAAAGGTGTCATCATTAATGTACGTATCTCTTGGCTGCCATGTCCTTTCTCTCCCTTTGCGACCCAGCATGTGCAAGAGCAAGGGGTGGGGAGGCGGGAAGGAACCACTGCTCACCACTCTCCTCCTCCGTGCTGTTGTGTGAGCGTTGGATGAAGGAGCCCACAGCACTATGGGCAGACGTGTTTCTGCAGAGAGCCTGGGCTGGGCTGAGACCCGCACCCAGGCGTTTGTGTAAGCCTCTGCCCCCAAGAGATCGGTGGGGTCTTTTCCTTCCCCATGTCTCATTCAACCCTGCCCCTGTTTCGGAGAGGTGCCATGTCATTTGGAGTCCAGCGGGGGCTCCTTGTCCTACTGGGGCACTGAGAATGCATGTGCTTGTGAATTTCCCTTGGTGGCCCTCTTGTCATGGGGGTGGCGGGGAGCTGTCTCTTCTCTCGGTCAGAAAGGCTCCACTTGAATCTTGGCTCTGTGGCGGATTAACTCGGGACTGTGACTGAGCTGCTCAGCTTTTCTGAGCTTCAGCCTCCTTCTCTGGAGACTCGGAATAATGGTTTCTGTCTGAAAGGGTTGTTTGCAGGAGTAAATGAGAGAATGTACAGAGAAGCTGTCCCAGTGCCCAGCGCATCTAGGGGGAGTTGTGGATTCCCTGTGTAACTTCTGTCTGGTTTGGACACCTGCTTTTTTGTCCTGCTGGCTTCCTGGCCTCTGTGTCCTGCCTTTGCATCTTCAAAAGAGCACCGGGTTGGAAGGAAGCACTTGGAGTTGGGGGCCCTGAACTGGAAGCTTCTTTGGGCAGGTTTATAACCCTTCCAGAGCCTCTGTTCCTGCCCCAGCTGCTGCTTGGTGCCTCAAGATAAGGATCCTGCCGTCCGAAGTCAGCCTGCTCTACGGGTGTCAGCCAGCAGCCTGGGCGGCATGGTGACCATTCACTGTTGCTTGTCGGAGAAGATTGTCTGTCCTCTTGCCACATTGTCTGTCCCAGCTGCCGGCCGGGTGCCATGAGTAACCCAGCCGTCCCCTGGGCCGCCTCCTTGCTGAGAGCCTGAGTTGCAGACAGGAGGCTGTGAATGGTGGGACGGGGGGTGCAGGAGGCTGACTGGGCACAGCTACTAGATGTGTGAGCGATGGGTTTCAACGTCTGGTACTCCCTGGCTGACCCAGTCTGGGGGAGGTGAGGTGGGGTCCCCTTCTTCCCTCTGCTCCACCAGCATCCCTCCCAAAGTTGCCTTGTCCATCGGGAGGCCTGTGGCAGATAGTGAAGGACTGTTTGGTGTCCAAGGCTATAAGCATGGTGGGCATCTCTGCAAAGGAGGGACGGAGGAGGCCTTTGTCGGCCCCCCACGCTAACCCTAGGGCGTCAGGCAGAGTTTGACATGGGTTTTCTATTTCACTGGCTGAGTACTCCAGCCTCTGGGATACTAAGGTTCCTTCAGGGCATCCTGGGGCATTTGTCCAGACCACGACACATTGCTCACAGTGACTCAACTCTTTGGCAGTTGTTGTAGCCCCTTCATACTCCCCTCTCTCCGTCACGGCACAGGTGGGCCAGCATGACTCACTGTGAACCCATCATGACTGTGGAGGAGCTGGGAGCAGATCCCAGGCTCGTGGGTGTCCTCACCAAGGCTTCTCTTCTCCTCACAGACTCCGGGAGCATCTTCCAAGCCGGTGCTGCGGGGCCCCCTAGGTATAAGACAGGAATTCTTGGCTAGAAATTACAGGCCCCAGGCCGGACATGAGAAAGCTGGATGGCCATTTGGTTCAGGAGCTCTGGCCTTGAGTCTCCCCGTGTCCAGCCAAGCTCTGTGGCATTTGCATAGCTGGGAGCTGGTCCATCTACCCCGAGCCACTCAAATTAACATTCTTGTCATGCTCCCAGAGGAATGGGAAGTTCTCTCTCACTTTCTCTCCCTGCACGGGTCAGCATCTTCCTAGAGGCACACAGAGGTGCTGAGTAAATGTGTATCGACTGACTGACCTGCTTCCCCATCTATTCCTGCTGATCTCTGGGCTTCCCATGGTTCCTGAAGGGAGAGTGAAGTTTCTCCTCAGGAAACCATGTCTCCGGGCTCCCAGCTCTGTCTTTCTTGCTTTCTGACATGAGGAGGGTGGACCATTGCCGGGCCCTGCCTCTTCTGGGCCGTATACATACAGGCTAGGGCTCCCGGATGCAGCAGGCTTGTTCTTGCCACTGTGTGAGGGAGCGCTGTTGTCAATGGGCAAGGTGAGCACACATCAGAGCCGGTCTCCAAATGCTGAACCCACTCTCGTTGGAAGCCATTGCCTGACCTCTTCCGGTCTCCAGCATTCTTTTCAGCTTAGTATGTGGGGCGACTGTTCTGTCAGATTCCCCACCTGGGCCATTCTTGATGCTTCTCCCTCTACTGGCCCTCCTCTCTGCCTAGGACGCAGCCTCTCTTCTGTACCTGTGCCTGTGGAAAATGGGACCCACCCTCATTCTCCTGCCTCTGTCTTAATTTAAAACGCCTTCTCCAGGCCTGCCCACTTTCCATAGGGACCCATCCCCACCTTTCTCTCCCTTGTCCTTGTTCTTAACCCCTCCCCGTGGTCCTGCTCCTGTATCCATCCACTCCCCTGGAACTTCCTGCCCAACAAGGTCCCGTGGCTCCACCCAGCAGTCCTGGCCCAGGTGGGCTCCCAGACCAACACATGCTCCTCTCGGGGCCCCCAGCACGAGCGACCTTCACTGTGCAGTGCTCACACTCACTGGTCAGCCAGCCTACTACCGACAGCATGCTCTGAAGAGGGATATTTTCAAGACCTCTCCATCCCTGTCTCCTCTCCACACCTTTAAGGGAGGGGATTGGTCATGTGACTGTAGGAACAGGTGTGAGAAAGGACACGTGAATCGCGAGAGCTCCAGCCTGAACGCCACAACCCGACACAGGGCTCCCAGGCCAGTGCTGGGTACGATCTGGGTGATGTAGTTTGGTGTGAGCGTGTTAAAATTTCTGGAACAAGGTATTTGAAATCGTGGTTATTAGGAAAACTGACACAGTGGGTCACTGTATTTCTTGACGTGGCTGTGCCTTCTAAATGCTCCTGTCAGTGTGTGGGTGAGGAATGGTCCAGGAGCGTACTTCACCATACGTTTATGTTTTGTGCCATCATGAATTATAGGGGACAGAAATTCCCATTCACTGAACACTTACCATGTGCCAGGCGTCAGGTTGGGGATTTAATGTCTATGATTTCCTTCGGTCCTCACTGTGTGAAGTAGATTTTGTTATTCCCAGAATGAGAAATGAGAAAATGGAAACCCAGAGAAGTTCAGTAATTTGCCCACATTTGCTCAGTGAAAAGCAAAGGTGGAATCTGACCTCGGGCTCTGGATAACCCCGAGGCCTGTGTTAGTCTTACATACTGGTTCCCGCCCACGCCCCTGCCCCGCCTTGGGATCTGCACTTTCTGTGTCACCTTTTGGGAGGAAAGCCTTCTAGTTTCTTAGTCATATGATGAGCAGATTAGACTTTGGGGTATGTCCTGCAGGTCACTGCCAGCATCTGTCAGGAATGGATCTCCTGCACCTCTAAGCCACGGCCCTCCTCCTGCTAGCAGGGAGTGTGACAGTTTACATTTTAAGAGCAAAGCAGAGCCCTGAGTGGCCCTAGCCTCTCAAGAAAAGAGAGAGCTGATTCTGGAGGGAAGGTGTGAGAGCTCTGCCAAGCGTTCATGCCTTTTCTGGTCTTGTTTGACCACCAAACGTAGCATGTCTGGATCATATTAGCTTAGCTTAGTCCGCTATGAAATCACTATTTCTTATTTGCTCTCTCATCTTTTAATTGTACTGAAAGTTATCGCAAGAACCAGCCATGTAAAATATACTTCTGTATTTACCACAAGTCCATTATTGAGTAAGCTGGTTATTACGACACTATGTTCTCTATCAAAATTCCGACGTGAGATAGTTCTTTTAGAATTTAGTGCCAGGAAAAAAATTTCCTCCCCTAGGAATGTCTATGCTTCCTTCTTTCTGATAAGGAAAGCGCTGCCATAGATCACATTTCCCTTTTGCCTTGGATGCCAGGAAGCTCAAAGCCAAGTGTGAGGCGTAATCACAGCTCTGTCAACCCTGACAGATGACTGACTTCGTTCCTCTTGATTCCTTTGGCCCTGAGTTTCTGTTTTGCTTAGCTTTGCTGTATAAAACCATTCCAAGTTCTTTTGCAAAGATGTGGGTGTGAACTCTTGCCCATTACAGGGGTGGATTCCCACACCACAATCTCGTTCTCTCCCCAGGACTACATCGACACAGAGATGCTGCTGTGCGCAGAGAACGTGAACCAGGACAACCTGCTTTCTTACGCCCGCGAGGCCGCAGATTTCGCCACCAATTACCAGCTGCCATCGCTAGACTTTGCTCTGAACCACTATGGGCAGCCTGACGTGGCTATGTTCGACTTCACCTCCATGTACGCCTCAGAGAACGCGGCCTTGGTGCGGGAGCGCCAGTCCCACCAGCTCCTCGTGGCCCTGGTGGGCGACAGCTTGCTTGAGGTAGCATCTGTGTTTGGAACCCCCCGGTTCCCGGTAGAAAACAGATCCTTGCATTTCTGGTGTGGCCAGTGGCATCTGCTCTCCCGCAGCCAGGGGAAAGATGGGATCCCTGCCAGTGGGCCGGACTTGGCCAGGCCCGTCCTGGCCTCCAGCTTGCACCTGGCCTGCCCTTTCACCAGACCCAGAGGAGCTCATGGTGTCTTCCTCTCCGCACTTCTGGGCTCTTTGCGCTGACCTCTTTGTCAAAGTAGGAAACTAGTCAGCCCTACTCTGGCCTACATGGGCAGGTCTCTTCATAACATGTACCCCCTCAGCTGGGCCACAACTTCTTCCTCACAAGGGGAGATCTCTGGGGCCTTGCAACAGGGAGATCATAGAGGGGACAAAAAGACATGTGGGCCCCAAAGTCTGGTTTCCCTCCATGGCCTCCAGCTCAGAATGCTGCCCAGAGCATCGGCAACTGTAAGCATCCTTAGCTTGAACCAAGTTTTTCAGCAGGGTTACATTTTTATCTTTAAAGTAAGCAGTAACCAAAAAATGTTTATTTATCCCAAGTAAGAGTCAAATTCCAAACCATGCTTTGGGTGCCCAGGGGACAGTTCAGTTAGAACTTAGCTTGGCGGACCAGCCCTCACTTACCATGGTGTGTGGGCTGTGATCGGCAGCACCCCCCCCAACCCCACCGTCTCCCTTCTCAGCATTCCCTCCTGTTACTCTGCTCCATTCCTCCACCAGGCCTTTGCCCACGCTGCTGCTCTTGAATGGATCAAGATTAGAAGCCTACCCGTTCTTTAAAATCAGCATAAATGCAACTCTTTTGTGAAGCCTTCCCGATTTCCATCTCCCTGGGTTGAGGGGGCATTTGCCTGTGCCTTGTTTGAGCCGCCTCCCCCCTCCCCCAGCAGTTTTTCCATTCCTGGGACACAGCCCCTTTTATGTGTGACTTGCTGCTATAGCTGAACGTGTTCGTACTGAAACCTAGGGGGCTGTCCTGTCGCCCCACATTCCTTCCCGTGCCTCCCACAGGCTGGGTAAGCACTGAGTGCTGGAGAGGACGGGATAGCAGCCTGGGGGTTGGGGTGGGAGGCATGAGAACCCACTGGAGTTTTGCATGTTTTCTTCTCTAGCCATTTTGGCCCATGGGCACAGGTTGTGCCCGGGGCTTCCTGGCAGCCTTTGACACGGCCTGGATGGTGAAAAACTGGGATCAGGGCACCCCTCCCCTGGAGCTGCTTGCTGAAAGGTGAGTACTGCTGCCCGGCTTCCAGCTGGGCGTGGGGGTGGGTAGGGGCAGGGCGTGCTGGTTCCACAGCTTGGACAGGAAGGGAGCAGGGCTGGCCATCAGGCGGATCCTGGATGAACCTGAAGCCTCTGTGCTCTTTTATGTCCTTCTCACATGTGGCCTGATTTGATCATCAGGATCCCAGGGAGACTTTCTGTGTTAGGTTCTACCTCCTCCAGTGACTTCTCTTGGGGCCAGGACCTTAGGACCTGAATGCAAAAGAGAAATATTGATCTGGAGTGTTCCCAAAGTTGGGGTTCCCAGCACAGCCAGGTCGCTGTGAGATGAAAGAGGTTGAGGGGAAGTCTCAGCTGCCTGGGCTTCTGATCTCTCAGGCCTCTTCTGCTGTTGCTGAGACCTTGGGCTCCCTCCCAGACCCCTGCTGCTGGCCACGTGGCTGTAACAGCTGGTGGACTGGAAGACATCAAGACTGGCAGGTGGGGCGGGGGAGGGGGACTGGCCTCTGCGGGTCTTGGGTGTGGAGGCCTGTGGTCACAGCGGACAGGAGGCCATAGGAGGCAGCATGGCTGAATGGAGGTTCTAGCAAAACCACAGGTCCCTCGGCTGCCAGCTTTGGTGTCACTGCCCTCTGCTCGGGGAAGGAGGCCAACATCGCTGCCGCTGGACCCCGTCCCACCCTCTCTCCCTAGTCCTTCGACTGTCCCCCACTTTGTGAGTCTCAGGAAACACAGGGGCCAGGCATTGCAGGGAAGAAGTACACAAACACATCTAAACCTTTAAGAGCAGGGGAAGGAGTTTGGGGGGATGAAGGCATGCGGCTGCCAGAGCAGTCCCTGACCCCCGGGCTCTGCCTCATCCTAGAGAGAGTCTTTACCGGCTGTTACCTCAGACCACTCCGGAGAACATCAACAAGAACTTTGAGCAGTACACACTGGACCCAGGGACACGGTACCCAAATCTTAACTCCAGCTGTGTCCGGCCCCATCAGGTAAGTCCTTCCCTGGGCCCCGTCTGGGTCACCCTGCCCTGACCGGTGGGTGGGAGGCCATGGAAAATCTGGCCCCATCCCTAGGGCTGAGGCTGCCGCTAACTCCTGGCTCAGCTGTGGGACCAGTTCCTCTCTCTAGGAGAGCCACGAGAGACAAGAGAGTCAGCATCTCTCTAGCCTGCAGGAAAGAACTAGAATACAGCCAGCACCTGCCCTCATCTGTGCACACGCTGACGTGTTTCCTGTCACCATGAGTAGGGGTCGCTAATCACGCCTCTCTGCAGAGTCTGCTCCACCAACTGTCAGGTCCTTTCACTTCCCCGTCCTGCAGTCCCATTTCCTCCCGTTGACTCAGGAACCCGCAGCCGCCAACTTCGGGCAACAGCGCAAAGAACGGTGTGATGTTTGTAAAATCAGCCAATCACGTAGTTTTACACTTGAGTCCCCCCGCGTTTGGGTGGACAGCTGAGATCTGTTGCTCAGCATCTCATGTTCCCCAGGACCTCTTGCCCGAAGTCATGCCCTCCAGCAACAGAGGGGTGGTAGACGCAGAGTCGAGGCAGGGCTGGCCCCGAGACCAGCTTTGGGGAGATACCGGTGGGCAGCTGTGTGGTCTCTTTGGCTTGTAGGTGAAGCACTTGTACATCACTAAGGAGCTGCACCCATGCGCTCTCGAGAGGCTGGGCTCGGTGAGGAGATCCATGAGCCTATCCAGGAGGGGTAAGCCACCGCCCCGGGTCCTCGGCCAGGCTGCAGGGGTATAGGGTTGGGGAACGCTTTGCGGGGACCAGGCCTGCTGAGTGGCTTTGGGGGCCCAGGCCCGGCAGCCCACTCAGCTCTGCCGCTATGACCCATGTGACCTTGGCCAGGCACTTCTCTGTCCTTCCGTTTCCTCATCTGTAAAACCGGGACAAGGACAACCCCAACTGCAGATTGGTTGTAAAGGCGTGAATATGTGTCAAGCACTTAGGACATGAAAGTGAACTGTGGAATTGATTCACTGGGCCTTGCTTTTCCTTCCCTGTTGTTTCCAGTATGGAGATCTTGTTTCCCCCACCAGATAACAGGCTACATGTGCTGCACTCTTTTCCTAATGGCGGGAAGGGATGGTTAAATAAATGACTCTCTAGCATCGGTCTGGCCTTGCTTGGGTCACCATCCTGCTGAGAGGCCTTTCTGGCTTCTGTTGCCTGCTCAGACACCGGCTCCTCCCCACCACTGGGCACCCAGCCTTCTCAGCCTACCTTCCCTTCCCCTCCCACATGAACCACCGCTGCCGCCTCTGTTGTGCACAACCTTCCAGGCCTTTCTAGATTTTTCCCATGGCACGGCCCTCTTCTGTTTTCCTGGAGTGCCGCCTTCTGTCTGATGAATCCCTCGACGTTCCTCAAGAAGCAGCTCTGACGCACCTGCTCCAGGACACTCTCCACCACTGTCTGTCTCCCCCTGCTGCAGAGCTAGACATCCGGCCCAGCAAGCTCTTAACCTGGTGCCAGCAGCAAACTGAGGGTTACCAGCACGTCGAGGTTACTGACCTGACCACATCCTGGCGCAACGGCCTGGCCCTGTGTGCCATCATCCACCGCTTCCGGCCTGAGCTGATGTGAGTCGAGGGTGCAGGCCCGGGGGCACCCTGGAGACAAGGGCAATCAGGGGTTCTGCTGGAGGCAGAATCTTGGCTCAGAATACATCTTTGGATTGAGATTTTCTTGAGTTTGTTCTTTTCTGTTTGCACTGATCACTGTCAGCAGTTGACCTGTGTTTCGAACACACCAGGAACAGAAGCAGCCCCGACTCCATGCTCACACTTGTCCCCACATCCCCGCCATCACTGCGCTGGGGAAATCGAGCATTCACACCTGGCACTCTCTCCATCAGAGAGAAATTACGGGCAAGACCTCATTCTGGGGAACAGTTTGAGGATTGTACAGCCAAGGGAATTAGATCTGAGATGCAGACCAGTTAGCTGTGTGGAGCTGGGCAGGTCATTTAGCTTCTCTGAATTTGTTTCTTTGTAAATTGGGAATGATGGCAGCATCGATAGGAAGATCGGGCGCACTTTATGATGTTGAAGGCCCCATACATGTATTAATGTTGGATTCAGACCAGCTGCAGAGTAACCACAGCCACGAGCACGTTCATGCAGAAGGCTGAAAGGAAACTCACCAGAGGGTTGTCAGTCGGCACCTTTAGGGATGAGGCTGCCTCAAGAAGGGGATGGGGTGCTCGCTTGTTACTTTGCATGTTGTAGATCCCTTGATTCTTTTTTTTTTATACAAGATATTCATATACTTTTATAATTAAAAGCACAAGCACATAAAGGAACTATTTAAAAGTAAAATAGCTGATAAGTTTTCCAGAGACGTAAATTATTTTCTGATTATTTCAGCCCAGGCAGCAAAGACATTGACATGGCCTAAGTCTGATTTGGTCCCTACCCCAAGTGAGAAGGAGCCTCCCTGGGCAGTCGTGGGTGGGGGGAGCAGAGGGGTAGTGCAGGGAGGGCAGCAGGGGGTGGGGAGATTTGGGGGGATTTGGGGTCACAGCCCCTTCACCCCTCCCCACCTGCTGAGACCCAGCAGAACGTTGTCCACAGGGTTTCTTACCAGGAAGTTGGTTCAGCTCTTCACACTTCTGTCTCCTGTGCCTGAACTTTACCTCGTTTTGATTCTCCAGCAACTTTGACTCTCTGAACGAAGATGACGCCGTGGAGAACAACCAGCTGGCATTTGACGTGGCCGAGCGTGAGTTTGGCATACCCCCGGTGACCACAGGCAAGGAGATGGCGTCAGCCCAGGAGCCCGACAAGCTCAGCATGGTCATGTACCTCTCCAAGTTCTACGAGCTCTTCCGGGCCACCCCGCTGAGGCCTGTGGGTAAGGCCCTTCTGTGGGGCAGGCTTTGCTGTGCCCTTGGGCCATCTCCACCCTGTGCCCATGTCTGGCTGCTCTCCACACCTGTGTCTAATGTTCTCAGGCTGGCCCCTGCCTTCCCTCTCACTTGGAGGCCAAACCGGGGTGGCCTCCACCCACCCAGGCCTGTGTGTGTGAGTGGGCATGTGGGGCAGGGGCCACATGAGGCCGAAGGTCTGCCCCTGTGACTGGGAGGTCACTGTTGAGAGCTGCGTCAGCCTCCTACCCAACCTTGAGGGTGAGGGAATTACTTGGAGGGATCTTGTAGCAGTGACACCCCCTGAGCCCTGGGGTAGTGGTGGCAGGGTCTGATCGCCGTCCCATTTTTATTTCCTAACAGATTCTTGGGGCAAAAACTATGGAGAAAATGCTGACCTCAGTTTGGCCAAATCCTCCATTTCTCATAACTATCTCAACCTCACATTTCCAAGAAAGAGGACGCCACGGGTAAGTTTTGGCCTGATTTTTGTTGGATTTCTCTTTGCCCATGGATGGGGCCAGGGGAAGGGAGAAGGTCATGTGCTCAGTCTGTTAATGCTGATAAAGGACACAGATCGAGAGCCCATGGGAGACATGAGTAAGGCGCGGTTTAGTGACCCTGTGCTGTTGGAAGTCCCCGCGGCACCGTGTTGCTGGCTTCAGTGACATACACTGGTTCTAGGAGGGGCATGGCTCAGATCTGAGAGGTCATGCAGCTGAGTATTTTTTTAAGTAAATCAGATGAGCCCTGCCTCCTAAGAGGAAGGGGAGATGATCTCTCACTTGCTCAGCAATTTTGATCAGTTATACCATGCCTGTTGGTGACAGAGTATATGGTAAGGCTACATTTATATGTTCTGTTCCATTAATTTCCTTCCTTCTTCCTGCTCTTCCTCCTTCTGTCCCTCCCTCCTTCCTTCCACAAATGTTGCCAACTTTAGGGCTGAATATTTTGGTTTGTTTCTCTAATTTTTTTTTTTTTTTAAGAGAGATAGCAGGAGAGGAGGGATAGAGGGAGGGAGAGAGAAAATGCCAAGCAGGCTCCATGCTGAGTGTGGAACCCCACGCGGGGCTTGATCTTACCACCCGGAGATTATGACCTGAGCCAAAATCAACAATCGGATGCTTAACTGACTGAGCCACCTGATCACCCATTTTTTTTTTTTAATGAGAGTAGCAAATACACAGAGGTAAATAAGGTACACCTTTGAGGAGCTCAGAGCTGAAAGAGGTTCCGGAACTTTCTTAACGGCACCCTTAGTGTCTCAGTGATTTTTATCACAGTGCCCCTAGATTGAAAGAAATACCTGAAAGGTCTGTTTACTAAGTAGTTAAGTCCAAATGACTTGGTACAGGTATTTTACAAGATGTAAACAGACTTCACCACATTTCCCTAGAAAATTTAAAGCATCCTATGGTTCCTCTGCAAGCTCATGGTGGGGCCATGGGGTGCCTTGGAACACAGTTTGGGAACCATGAGGCTAGTGATTTTTTTTTTTTTTTATAATTTCATTTGAATGATGGTATGTCTGTGGTAGGTATGATACAAGTTATCTTATGTGATGTGTTCATTTTATACATCCAGAAATGAAGGACCAGAGATGTTAGGTGGCAAGTGCTCCTACAAAGCTTGCCTCTCTCCACGGGGCCCCAGAGGGCTGCAGACCTCTGTGTGTGTGACTTTCTAGGTTGCTGACAGCCTCCTACTTGTGGTCAGTCATGCCTGGTCCTGCCCGCCCCTCCACCCAGGGTGGGGCTGGGGCCACGTAGCCTCCTGTCTTTGCCTTGGCTCTGTGAGCAGCGGGTCACTTTTTCCACTGAGGTCTGTACTCCCTGCAACGTTGTAGCCTTTGGGCTAACTCCAGGAGTGGGCACACCCTATCTATAGGAGGGAATGGGCTAGCAAGGCCAGGGCTGGGGAGGGAAGGTGTGCCGGTCTGCTGGGGTTTCCAGCAGAGCAGAACTGCCCCTGGCGGCTCTGTGGCCCCTGCTCCCCAGGCTGCCCCGTTGAGAGGCTCTGTGTGAGGGCTGTGTGGCCTACCACATGTCCCACTGAGTGAAAGTCATCTTCTGGATACTGGTCATAGGTTCATTCCCTCTAAGCCTCCCCACTTCAGGCTTCCCCAACCAAGCAAGCCAGGGCAGCCTTTCTGGGAACTGTCTGAGCCCAACACTGAAGGCCTCTCTCCATCCACCTGCTTTCTCCACCACTTAGCCCACAACTGGGAACAGCAGGGGGAACTGGAGAGGAATGTTGAAACCTTTCACTCGCCACACCTCTGTTTACAGAATGACGGAATTCTAACAGTCTGGCCAGCCCAGGGTCACATGGGGAATGGTCAGCAAGGCCAGCCAGGCCCTCGGAGGCCTGAGAGTTGCTCACCCCACTTCCCACTGGCTCTGCTAGAAAATGCAGGGGGCATGGGCAGGCTCTGTCTGGCCCAGCCCTGGCCAAGGTTCAACCATGTCCATTTGCCCCTGAAGGGCTGCCTAGGGTCTGCCCATCCTGAGAGGGGTCCAGTCCCCCTCCACAGCTTCATTTATGTCTCAGATTTGCCCAGCTGTTGGATAGGTAGAAAGATTAGGTCATTAAAGTAAGTGCTGGGGTGGGCATGATTTTTGATTGAATGCTTCCTCTGGGTGGGCTGGCGAGTTAGAAAGGCCCCTGGGTCACATTCTGCCATAGTCATCACCGCAGTACCCCAGACACTGTCGACCACTCAGTGTCCGTGAACCGATCAGACCACACACGAAGTACCTCCTTCCCCATCGACTGTGGGTCTTCCTGTATCTGGATACTTTTTGGTTTGGGGAACCTATTTGCGATGCTCTTTGGTCTTGACATGTCTCACAAGCAGAGAGAACTAAGTCCACAGCAGCGTCCCCCAGGATGGGCATGGAGAATGTCTGCCTGGGACACTCCAAAAACTGCACACACATCGAGGCTCCACCGTAGTTATACCCAGAAGATGGCCATGCAGTTAGGCACACAGCCCCCCGCACCCTTGTCCATGTGCCCTGATAGACTAGAGACGCAGGCCCAGCTGTGGCCCCATGAGTGCACGCTAGCGCACACACACACACACACACACACACACCATCCGGACACACAGATGCATCTGCCTCCAACCTCATCCCCCTTTCCTCAGCCCTCTCCGACCCTCCCTATGCCCTCCTGAACTCTCAGAGGAGCGTCTCGATGCAGGAATTGAGAAGCCCATGTTTGTTCACAATACAACATCTTAATCTGGAGAGGGTCTGTTTTTCTCTACTGAGCCAGCCTTAAAAATCTCTTCCTCTTCCTGGTTTTCGTGGTTGGTGTCAAGTCATTGTCTCATCCCTAACCCCAGATAGCATCCAAATCCCAAGAAAACTGATCAGCTTTCCTTCACCGAGGGCCTTATTTTCTTTCAGAGAATGTAACTTTCCCATTGATCTGCCCAGAGAGTTGTCCCTCTGGTGAGTGGCAAACCGCTGAGGTCGATGGGTGAGCTGCAAATGTCGCAGGGCCAGGCCTGGCGAAGGGAGAGCTTGTGGATTCCATGCTCCCCTCCAGAAGCCCTTGGTTCGTTCCTGAAGATCTACCTCTGATCCTAAATGCACCCTCACAAAAGCGGGACCTGGGAAAATTGCTGTGGACTGCGGATCTCCTGTTACCATGGACCTCAGGTGGTATCTGAGCATACCCACATGGTCTCTGTCCTCCCACATGTCCCCTCCTAGGCCTACAGCATGTGGGTCATGCCTGAACTTAGGGCCATTGCAGTCATCACACACGTGACAGTATGTACACACTCAGGACACTTGATGTCGGTTTCCCCATTCGGAGCCCACTCCTTTCGAGACAGCATAACACAGAGGTGTCACTTGTTCATGAAAAGCTCATCCCAGAGGCCAGGGTGTTTATCCTCTCAGCCGGCCGATGGTGACACAGGCTCCCCTCCAACACTGTTCCCAGGACAGCAGAGTTCACAGAGCCTGGCTGGTGTGGGTGTCTGGTCCCAGCAGTCAGGGTGCCCGCCTAGCTCTCCTCTCCTCACCCCTCCCACATAGACACTTTCCAAAGAACCAGGCACGTGAAGTAAGGAAGTGTTTCCTCCACCCAGATGGACCTGGTGCCTCTTTGATGCTGGTTTCTCTTCTCAGCACTCCTGGTGCTGGGGGTAGAGCCGAGAACAAGACAAGCAAGGACTCTGCCCGAGGACGCTGCCCTTCTAGGGGGAATGTCTGAATTCCTCTCCCCTTCCCCAGCTGCTCTCACAGAACCCCCACCCAGCAGCCAGAGCTCTCCTCTAAGTTTCTAGTGCTTCTCAACTCGGAGACTTGGGGAAAGTCCCAGAGGGCCAAAAGCACGGGTGCCGGGCAGCCGGGCTGAGCTAGCACAGGGCCTTTGAGCTACCCCTCGGGCCCCCACGATTTGCAGGCCACTCTTCTGTCCCCTGTGCCACACAGCCAGGTGTTCTGAGCGGCTCACAGAGTGAAAGTACATTAGAAGCCAGGCAGACAAACACGTATTTAGGTCTGCCGGGGATTTGGCACATGCTCGAACCTCTGCGAAGGTTCCTTTGCTTGTCTGTGGACTGATTCCGATCACGTCAGCCATGCATTGCGTCACATCAGCCCTGCATTGCATCAGGGTGCACAGATGTTTGCTGTGGTTCAGAGCCCCTGCCCAGCCAAGTGGGAAGGCTGTCCCTTAGGAGTACTGAGACAAGGCAGATGCCTGTTTCCTGAGAAAATGAGTCAAGCTAGCACCACCGGACCCTTGGTTTGGCACCGCAGCCATGATCGCGGGACACCTTACGGCATGCAAAGCAGCCTCATATGTATCTCATTTGTTCCTTGTGTTCTCTCTGGAGGAAGACGGGGTGTGTATTCTCAGCCCGGTGTTAAGAGAAGGGGAGTCTTGCCTGTGGGGACATTAAATTGCGATGTACTGCCTGTAGGTAGCAAAAGTCAAAGTTGGACCTGGAATTCAGGTTTTCTCATTTATTAACTGGTATTAATCTAAATAACAGTGCGTAAGAGGTATACAGTGCCTTATAAGAAGTGTTTTATGTACAGGACTTTGTGAGCTGGATAGTATATCCAGGCAAGGAAATAATAGACAAGGAAATGGCAGTCGGAGAAGTTGGGTGATTTGCCTAAGGTCACAGAGCTGGGAAGTAAGTCATGTCAGAACTCAAACTCATGAGTCCTTACTAGTCTGTTACTGAAGGAGAGAAGAGTTTCCTTCCAGTATCATTGGCCTAAATATCCCTGCTGCCTCCCTACTTAACCAGGCCATTGCCTGCAATGGCCAATCTTTCTTCCTATGCCCCATATCTAAATTTTTCCAGAGTTAGGCTATACTAGCTAGTAAAATATAAAGGTTGTTTCTTTTGGACTAAGATCACATGGAGTTGGGCTTTTGGGGGACATGGTTATCTTGTACTGATCAAATAAATAATCAGAATAGCAAATACATATCTTTTTTTTTTTTTTTAAAGTGGAGATACCAGTTAGTTTAATAAATGCCCTCTGGTGCATGAACTCTTTCAGGTCATTGGGAAATCATGGTAAGAATGTGTTCTTAGGGGGTAAGGCAGGAAAAAATTAATAGCAAAAGAAAGTGAACTCTTTGTGTATGGCTGGGCACCATAAGTGTTTTCTTCCTCCTTGTACCCCATTCTTTGTAGAGCAAAATAGAGTCCAAGGAGATGGGGGTACTAAGGTGACATTGGCTTGCAGATAGAGATATACAGATAAGAAAATATTAGGTAAATCCCTAGGTGTGAGTTTTCTCCACCTTTCTGTTTTAACCTCGCTCTTTAGTTGAGAATCAGTGCTTCCGTGAGAAATCCATAAGGAAAAGTACAGACCGTTTCGATATGTGTGTTGCCAACCTTTTCATATGGACTGCGTTTTGTTGTCCTATGGGTCAGGCTGAATCAGAGGAGTGGAGGTTGCCCCACAGGCTTCTTTTATTTCCCCTGAAGGATCTGGGGTCTTCTCAGGTGCTGGGCACACTCCCTCCCAGGAGCATTTCTCGTGAGCCTGTGGCTAGCCTACTGGGTTTGGTTCTCCTTGGCTCTGATGTTGGAACATTCAAGCCTGGAGCTGCTGAATGCAAAAAAAAAGAGTAAGAGGTGTCACTCTTTGAGAGAAAAGCCAAGTCTTCATTTAAGGTGGAAACAACACAACAACAAAACAAGAGAAAACCCTAAGATTATGCATGCAGTGTTCTTGTTGGGTAGGACGCCCTGTACTTTCTCAGGCCCCTGTCTCGGCCAGCAAGCCATTCACAGGCAGTGGAACTGGGGGCCCAGATGGCCTGCGCCTCTAAGACCCAACATTGTTGTGAATAAAGTCATTTGTTTCTCTTGGTGTTTGCCCAAGCGTTTGGGTTGAAATCATTTCCATTCACAGAATAATGATTTATTAGAAGCTGAGAAAAATGTTAGAGGGAAGGCAGGGCCCTTTGATCTGTTGTTTTGTGCTCCCTGAACAAGGGAAGGGTCAAATTTTTGAACAAATATCAATGCCTAAACTGTGGTGGATCTTGTCTTTGAAAATATTAAAGGTGCTGCTAAATGTGGGGAGGGGGCAGGGGTGATGGGACTACAGAAGCTGGGGAAGCAGTTGCTTTCTGCTGGGAGCAAGTGGGCACACAGTCATGTGTGCTGGGGGCTCCGAGCTCTTATAGCAGAATAGGCAAGAAGTAAAAAAAACCTTCCTGTGGTGCAGCAAGGGCAGGAGAGGTGAGGCAGATTGGGCCGTACTGGGTTCGAGGGAAGAGAATGGCCAGCAGCCCTCCCCCTGCCTGCCCAGTGGAACAAAGGCTGGGATGTAAGCTGGCCTTCTCTGGAGGGCCCAAGTGCGTAGGAGTCTTGGGCGTGGGGATTCCATGGCCCTCAGGGGGCTGGCTGTCTGGAGAAGGCCCCCGCTGGAGACCGGTGGTTGCAGGGTCTGGGTCGTCTCACTGTAAACATCTTTGCTGCAAGCATTTTTGCTCTGTAACTAATCAGCTGTAAGGCAGCTGTGCTGCAAACGAGAAAAAGCACAAGAAACAAAAAATGGGCATTCATTTAAAAGGACATAATGAAACACAACAAACAAATAACAAAATTAAAAGGACTTTGTTGTGAAATACAAAAGATTTGACTCCTTCAGAACATGTAGTGTGGATTCTTGGCAACACCGCGCGAAGAGCTGGTTTCATTTCGCAGATCGTACCTAAGCACTTGTCTTCGCGGTCTTTCGTTCATGCTGGTATGTGTTCTTTGCTTACTGATCCATCTCCATGTTCGACATTACACGTTTTCTCTTTTCACTAAACGTTCTTCCTTAAGAGAGGTGTCCCGGGGCGCCTGGGGCACTCCGTCCGTTAAAGCATCTGACTCCTGATTTCTGCTCAGATCATAATCTCAGAATCTTGAGATTAAGCCCTGCTTTGGGCTCTGGGCTAGGCGTGGAGCCTGCTTAAGATTCTCTCTTCCCCTCCTTATGCCCCTACTCTCTCTCTCTCTTAAAAAAAAAAAAAAAAAGAGGGTGTATCCATTTCCAAATACAAGGATGCATATTTGTGACTAAGCGTTATGTTGCCTTGTGAGCACCTGTTCCCCCTGTTGTTTGTGCTTGGCCTTTTGTCACGAGTCCAGCAGAAGACCTCCCAAAGTTCTGTGGGAAATGCGGATTCAAAACTCTGCACCACCATATAGACCATCATGAGGGCTAAGATTTATGTAATATAAAAACAGGAGTACTGTGCTGGGGGAGAAATGAAGCCAGGCTGTCCATCAGCCAATGAAATCGAACTGTCAGCCCATTATTTCTGTATCTGTTACAGCAAAATTGCTTTATACCCAATGAATTACGTGGTAAAAATGCTTGTGGCAAAAGTGCTTGAAGCCAAGCTGTCTGTAGCAAAGATACTCGTGGCAGAAATACCAGATGTGGGTAGATAGACAGGTCTAACCCCAGGGTCAGGATAGACTCGCCTGGCAGGGTACAGAGGAGGCTCTGAGTCTAGCCTCCAGTTCCCAGCCCAGCCCACAGCCTCACTCCGTCTGTGCAGGCCCCCCCCCCCCCCCATAGGAGATAAGACTGACAATGCTTGTGCCCTTTGGTGGCCCTTGCAGGGTCGCAGCAGTGGCCTTGTGCAGAGTGGGGGTTCTCCAGATTTCAGTGTTCAGATTCAGGCAGCAGAAAGTGGGCTGGAAAGTCTTACGAGTAAGGCATCCATGTGATTTATTGTCTAACCAGGATACTTTCGAGAATGAAAGCGGACACACTAAATAATTTTGCTGGGGAAACAATAAATCAAAACGGTCCTGGGCACACAGAGCTGTGTGATCACTAGAGTTTTCAGACCTTATCTGATGTCCCCTTGAGTTGATAAAATACAGTTTACTGGCATTTGCAACGGTGACCAAATGGCGGGCATAATTTGCCATTAAATTATGCAGAGCAGCCGGATAGCTGCTCTGAACCCCAAGAATCCCTGCCTGTGGGGTGAGCAGTGGCACCTGGTTGCAGGAGGGAGGGGGTGTCCTTATGGCAGCATGCTATGCCAAGGGACATCAGCAGGCCTGTCTGTGACTGCTCAGAGCCCAGGGTCACACCGACCCCAGAGATGGTCCCTGCCCTTCCCGTGTCACAGGGATTCTTTATGTTTTGGGATGTTTCAGAAAGATTTTTGGGGATGTGATTCCCACCCCTCTGATGCACACACCGGTTCAGTAAGTCTCCCTCCTCTGAACAGAAATCTGCATCTGTTCCAGAACAGGGTGACCTGTGTCCTTGTGTCTCCTGGGCCACCAGCTCTTTGCAGGCGGGTGGTATCCTCAGGGCTAGTGCCAGGCCCGCCCTAGGGCCTCAGGGCAGTTGGTGGAACCACAGACTTTGCAGACCCTGAGCTCATGACGCTTTCTTGGCCACTGCAGGTGGACACCCAGACTGAAGACAGCGACATGAACAAACGGAGGCGGAAAGGCTTCAACAACCTGGATGAGGTTCGTGCCCACAGTGTCCATTTAAGCAAAGGCTGGTTGCCTGGCAGCCAGTGGCCACAGCGCTGGCCCTTCCCTTTCCTCTTTCGTGAGCCACTCGGTTCCAAGCTTGGCTTGATGGGAGACACCTTTGGGCTCTGGTCCCCCCTCTACTGTTTCCTAGCTGTGTCAGCTGGAGAAACAGAGCCTCACAGGCTGTGCTTCACGTCTGTGAAAGGCGGATGATACAATGGAAATGTAGGCAACTTATTGCAGGATTTTTAAAGACTAAAAACGAAAGGGAATATAATGTGCCAAGCATGCTGTCTGGCACCTGTGCTAATCAACACAGCATCACTATTATCAGGGGGACTAGTAACCAGGCACCGGGACCTTGAGCCGTAACTTCTGCCTTTTGTCTTCTGCACTTGTCTTCAAGGCAAATGTCCCGGTGCCCACAAGTGCCACCTTCTGGTGAAAGCCAGAAATTACAGGCTACTTTGTCAAAATAAAGCACCTAATCTCTCTCCAGAAATGGGCTCTCAAAACAGTGACTCTTATAACAAAGGGAGCTACAAGGCCGTCTAGGGGGTGGGCGGAAGACGCCTGTTGCTTACCCCATTTTCTGGGAGGGACAAAGGGGCGCTCTGATAATGGAACCCTAGAGTTCAGTTCATGTCTTAAAAAAATGTGCACAAACACATTTTATCCAATGGGTTCAAATCACGCTTGTCCAATCCTTTTCTAGACAAGTTGATCCTTTCAAGAGCAGTTGCTTCTCCATTTCTTGGTGCTGGTGTGATCAGGAACCTAGTGAAAATTCCTAGTGAACCTGAATAGATAGTTGAAAGGAGGAAGCAGAAGCTGATGAACAGGGTGGGGGGAACTTCCCACTTCCCTGGTTATGGGGTGTTGGCTCTTACTTGAAGTGCCTATGATTTGCCCCTGCCTCCTCCCTAGAAGTTTCCCTGTGATGCATGATGTCTCAGGTGGAAACCTGCTCCTGCCCTTCATCCGTGGCTTCTTTGAGGGAGTGTTTTTGCTCTCTCTGTTGCTGGCAGCCCAGGAGTCCGAGTGTGGGAAGAAATGGGTTGCACCTGCCCTTCTGAGTTGTATCTGGGCTGATCTGAATCAGCTATTGTACTAAAGTCAGGTTTCACTAAGCAGTAATTCTTTCCAAATTCTCGCTACTCACAGTGTGGGCCAGGAACCAGCAGCATCAGCCTCACCTAGCCGCTGCTTAGAGGTGCCTCAGGGCCCACCCCAGACTACAGACTCATCTGAATCTGCATTTCAAAGAGCCCCGCAGTGATTTGTATCTGAGCAGTGCTAGTCTGCGTGACCCACTGTCCTGGCCGACTTTGGCCTTATGCCAACAGTGACGCTCCAGTAAACCTACGGTCTTCCACTCAAGACTATAGCGATATGCAGAGGTCCGTTCTGCACTTTGAAGTGGGGAGTGACTCTTCGGTCCATGTTTATCCAATACTTCAAAATGGCTATGCATATAAGGTTTCACCTGGGGCTGGTCCTCTTAGGGAATCTTTAAGAAAAAAAAAATCAATTGACCTTAGCTTGCCTCTTCCCATGACCTTTCTAAGTGAACATATCTTTGTTGTCTTGAGAACATCTGTTCCTGTGAGGGAGAGGGAGAGGGAGAAGTAGAGGCCCTGCCTCCCTGGAAAGGCGGACGGCCTACCTGATTCCATGGTGGCATTTGCTGCTGAGGCCTGTGGGAGCAGGTCCTTCGGCAAGGAGAGCAAACATTGAACCAGCGAACGCTGGTAATTTTCCAAGTTTTATGTTTTAGCAGATGAGCTCGGGAAGGCTCTCATGGAACTCCATTTTATAAAACAGCACAGCCAAGTGACCATAGCCAGCACCTCACCAGTCAACACTCACGTTGGTATCAGGGACACAAGCAGTTTTGGTCTTTGAGGCATCTTCTCCAGAACCCATAACCCTAGTCTGACCATGAGAAAACATCAGACCAACCCAGCCCGAGGGACTCTGTACAAAATAGCTGACCAGTGTCCTTCAAAATTGTCAAGGTCATGAAAGGCGAAGAAAGATGGAGGAACTCTTACGGAGTAGGGAGATTGAGGAGACGTGGCTAAATGCCATGTGGGACCTGGGCTTGTGTCCTGAACCCAAAGGACATCGCTGGGAAGCTGAGGTAGCCCAAATCAGGTCTCTAGCTTCGTTAACAGAACCTGCTGGTGTTCATTGCTTCGTTTTGGTAACAGTACCACGATTATTCTAGATGCTAACATTGGGTGCTTCTGGATGAAGGGTATGCGGGAACTCTCTGTGCTGTCTGTGTAACTTTTCTGTAGGTCTGACATTATTTCCAGATTAAAAGGTTTTTTTAAAGATAGTGACCACAGAGCAGGACTGGTTGACGTTGGGAGCGGGGCGCAGAGGAGAGGGGAGAAGGGAGCCCAAAGACTGTGCCTTGCCTGACTGACACCCCGTCTTACTTCCTTCATCCCCCCTACTCTTCACCTCTCGCTGCCACACAGGGTAGTTGGAAAACGGTTTTGCTGGTCACTTCCTTATTATATTTGACTTTCTGCAACAACCAGGTTAAGTGGGCTGGGCTCCCATTTTACAGATGAGGAAGCTTCAGAGAAATGAAGTAAATTGCCAAGGTCCCTGAGCAGGGAGGTGAAAGAGCCCATTTTCAGACCTTGTGTGGCTCCCAGGTGGGTGTGCCTGTCCCTCCAGAAGATCATCTCAGTGGGTGTCACCAGCTGCTCCTGCCGTGCGTCCTCGGACCCTGGCATCCTTCTTCAGGAAACTGGTCTGGTGTCCTGTGTCCCCGGGCCGCTGTCTGATATCTGGGTTCTGGGATCCAATAACCAATGTGCTCCTTTGGCGTTTGCAGCCTTCAGCCTATCCCAGCCGTGGCCTGCGCTCCAGTCCAGAGGGCAGCAGTGGGAGAGAAGTGGGAAGCCAGAACAAAGTCAAGTCCATGGCAAGTCAGCTGCTGGCCAAGTTCGAAGAGAATTCTCGGAACCCTTCACTCCTGAGGCAGGTGAGTCCCGTCAGATGCTCACTGGACCTGCCTTCCCGGTGACCAGCACCTACTGAGAAGCCAGCAGAAACGTGCAGGCCTAGTGGGGGATTTCAGGCACGCCAGCCAGGCCTGGCTCAGGTGAGATGGGGGCTCCTTCTGGATCAGCGGTCCCAGGAGGGACCAGATAGCACATTTAGGCCAGAGCAAAGGTTTGAGGCCTTAGGAGCCTCCCATCTCTCTACAGCGCTGTCTCTGCCATTGTAGCCTGAAAGCAGCCATGGGCGGTACTGAAGCAAATTGCATAGCTGTGCACCAGCAAAATGAATTTACAGAAACAGGCAGCAGGCCGGCTTCAGCCTGAGGACCATAGTTGGCTGATGCCTATTCTGCCCTGGAGAAGAGATCCAGAATTTGGTTTTGCCTTGTAACCACAACCTGATTTGCAGCCAGCTTTGAGATAGTACAGCATAAGGGAGGTTTAGAGACACTGGCTGCCTGGAAGTCTAAGTCCAGAGGGAGGAGACCTGTGCACCCCAGGGGAAACGAAGTCATAGCTCTCAGCTCCATGGGAACCAACCCCCCCAAGTGTTCTCTGACGTCCCCTCCTCCATGTTCCCTCGGGTCAGGCCGGCAGGGCTGTGGAGTCTGACCAGGGCACCTGGGAGGCTGAAGGAGGCAGACTACCATGGGGCAGGCTGCACACCAAGCCGATTGTTCTCAGACTCTGACTCCATGGTTTGTTCAGCATGGTTCATTCTTCTGAATTGCTCTGGGATGCCATCATCAAATTACAAAATCTTGGGACATGGGGTTTGGTTCTTTTTTGGAGAACACCTGTTGTACAACAGAATTAGGCTCCTCTCAGGAGAAGGACAGACTCTAGGTTAATCAGGCTTACAGGCGATCATAAATGTCTCCCTGGTCTTGACGGTGGGCCCTGCCCCTCTGGACAAACTGGCCTTCCCCAAGAAGCTAAGTTTTAGTTCAAAGGGGACCATTTTCCTGAGACTTGTGATTATTTTCCTCAATTGCCCCTTCTAGAGGTTTGGCCCCTAGAGGTCCCCAAGTGTCAGTCGAGGGTTCTCTTCCATTGGAAGGAATGTACTGTCCCTGTCATCTCGTGTGCAGGAGATTTGGCCATTTCTAGGAGGACACCAGGGCTGGCCACCTGGGCTTGGCATAGGCTCTGGCAGTGCAGGCCCAGTGGCCCAGGTCTGAGCCAAGAGCGAGGCGTCCCTGGGATTTACACGTTGTCCAAGAGAAGGGGACTCCAGGACTTGCTGTTCACATGGACAGAGAACCAGGGTTCAAGTTTCCCTGCTGGGCCTGGCTCGTGGGAGCTCAGCCCAGGGCTGTCTTTGCACTTGCAAACTCTCTCTGCCCACCTCTCTTCCTCTCCTGCCTCTAAGTGTCTGACTCTCCTTTTCCTTCGTGTTTCCTGTGGCTGCTTTTTCGGACTCACCTTCCTCCTCCCAGGAATGCCGTGTCTCAGGGATAGGTAAGCCCGTCCTGCGCACTTCCTCTGACCCACCTATTAACCCTCGCTGCTCCAGGCCGGAGGAGCCCACACCCAGCCCACCACCTCCTCTGAAAAGGCAGGTAGGGCTCCTTCCAGTGGACCCTGTCTTGGTGAAGTCAGAGGGACTTTGGTCCAGAGGGGTGGGGTCGGTGTCTCTGTGTGCCCCAGGTAGGGCTGACGGTAGCTTCTCTGGGAAGGCAGACAGAACTTGAGGTATAGTCCATATAGGTAAGAATAACCAGGTCTACAGCTTCTGGAAATACACGCCAGCCCTGAATGTCGTCTGCCCAGCTGCTGTGTTCCTGATGCTTTATCTGCTTGGCGGGGAGCAAACCACATCTATGGGGTATTTGGGGCATTTGGGGGGATGCTCCAGGACTCTTAGCTTTGTTTGCAGGCCAATTGGATAGGAGATTTCTAAGTAGATGGACAAGTGACAGGGATGGTGAGATAAGCTTGGTGGGGGAGGCCAGTTGGCTTCACACCACTGAAAGGGTAAGGCCGGGGTGTGGAGAAGACCTCCCCTGGTGCCAGTCAGATAAACAGATGAGGACCCACCCCCCGGGGCCAGGGAGGCCGCTGGCAACCGTGGCCCGAGGCTCTGTCCAGCCTGCATCTCTGGGTTTGGGGTTTGAACAGAATCACTGTTCTTGAGTGCAGTGTTCAGAAATGTCTTGCCCGCAGCAGGAGGTCGGTGTTGCTCCCATGGTGGAGGCTGGGCGAGGTCAATGAGGATGGCAGTGATGTTAGGCCTGTGTGCACAGAGGAATCACCTAGAGGGCTTTTTGAAGAGTATCGCCAGCTGCTACCCACCCCCAGGCCAGTTAAACCAGACTGTCCGGGGGTTGGGCCCAAGCTCAGGTGGCTTTTTCTAAGCACCCTAAGTGACTTTGTGGGCAGCGAGGACTGAGATTGGGCTCGTGGTGGTTTTGATCTGGTGGGTCTGGGTTGAGGTGAGACGGGGTGTCGCTAACAAGGATGGCAGGTGAAGGAAAGTCAGTACCTGAGGTTAGCGGGGAATCCGACTCACAGTGGCCTCTTCTGTGCCTTGGTCCCCGGTCCTTGTGGGGAGGGCTCATGGCAGGGGTATATGAATGGGCCACAGTCGGGAAGGAAGCTTGACTTTCCTTCTCTCCCAGTTCCCCTCGGTGGTTGTGACGGGGCATGTGCTCCGAGAACTAAACCAAGTGTCTGCTGGCGGCGGGTGCCCGAACAGGCCCTGGAGGGCCAGAGCCAAGTCGGACCTGCAGCTAGGTGGGCCCGAGGCTCCCGCTGGCCTGCCTCCCACCTGCCAGGGAGCGCTGGCTCTTTCTGGGGTGCTGCGGCGGCTGCAGCAAGTGGAGGACAAGATTCTCCAGGTGAAAGCCCTGCCCGTGGCCCTTCCTCTGCCTCTGTCTGGGGTGCCTTCCTTCCCTCCTCTGTCCCCTCCGCACTGGGTGGGCTCCTCGTCCTGTTCACACCCCGTCTCCTGTCTCATCCTGCCGCTCTCCTGGAGGCAGCCACCATCGTCTCTGTCACTGTCTCTTTCTCTTTCCCCTCTCTCACCTTGCCTGCAGAAGAGGGCTCAGAACTTGGCCAACAGGGAATTTCACAAAAAGAACATTAAGGAGAAGGCGGCTCACCTTGCTTCCATGTTTGGACACGGGGATTTCCCGCAGGTAAACATGGGACTTTCAGAGCCCCCCAGGAAGCTTGATGCTGCACATCCAGCAAAGTGGCCATGAGTCCATCTCCGGAGCTTCATTTACTCCCCTTCCTCCTCTTCCAGGAGGAAGAGATTGGGCTCGTGGTGGTTTTGACCTGGTGGGTCTGGTTGAGGCTCGAGATGGGGTGTCACTAACAAGGATGGCAGTACCTTAGGTACTGATTTTCAAGTCACTAAGGAATTCAGGCTAGCGTCTAAAAAAGACACGGATGAGCTGATGCAAAAACACGAGATCAGTCATGACAAAGGGAAGACCAAGGTAGCAACGTAGACTCAGGTCAAAGGAAAATGTGACGAGCAGAAACATATGCTGCCTAGACAGGCCTGAGTAGGCGCTGAGCTTCCTAGGAGGAAATACAAAGAAGGAAAGCTGGTCAGTTGCAGGCATCCCATCCCAGTGGCTTAAATTGAGGCACAATGGAGAAATCTCCCCATGGCCCTGACCGGGGAAATCCCGAATGATGGGCCAACTCTAGGCTCTAACCTGTGCTCTGCTTTTCCAAAAGGCAGCATCAGGCAAGCAGAATGGCTTTGCCTCAGGGAGGTAAGCACAGCCCTCTCCATGCCAGGTACTGACCTAGAACCTTGCTGAAAGGAAGAGGGAGTGCGTGGCAAGGAGAGGGAAGAGTTGCTAATACAATGCCGCCAGGCATGTGTGTGTCAGGGGCCCCCTTGCTTGCAGAGAGCTGCTTTCCTTTTGTCTCCCCCCAGACCTATGTCCTCTGCCACCAGGCAGAGTCACTGTCATGGGAAGAAGTTTTGTATCTAGTTTGTTTCTGGGTCCCAGGGGCTGTAGAGAGGCTTGCTGTGGCCATCTGCCCCATAGTGGCCCCAGGGTTCTCCTCTCCTAAGTTGGCAGCGGCTCCTTCACACCAGGCTACAGAGTGAGAGCACTGGGAGTTCGCTGTGGCATCCTGTCGCAGACGGACACACACACAGGATGGGTCTGCTCCCGCTACTTTGCTGTGATGAGGAAGCCAGGTTGTTTGTAGCAGAATGCAGTGTATCCAGGAGTCAGACAGTCCTGCTGGGCTCCCAAGACAGAGGTTTCTCTTCTGTCCTGAGACCCAGCCCTGGATTTCCTTTCCCCTCCCTGAATGTGTAGGCATGGGGCTACACGGTGGAGGCTACATCGCTGCGCGCTGCCCGGGGACAATCACCATTTCCTCTGTTTCTGTTCTGTGCAGAATAAACTACTTTCTAAAGGCCTGTCTCTCACTCACCCTCCGGCTTCTTCCTCCTGCCTTCCGTCTCCCGATCCAGCTGCTGCTTCCTCTCTGTCGACTGTTGACTCTGTTTCTCCTGCCAGAAAGGTAGCCGTCCTGAACAACTAGCTTCCCCGACTCCCTGCATGTTCTGAGATACTCTCCTGCTCTGCTTGACCTGCGCAGACAAGCATCGGGAACTTGCTTGGCTTGGCTGCAATGAAAATGCGTAAGATCCTTTCCAGCCGTCCCAGATTCGGTGGTTTCTGTGTTGGAGCAAGCAACAAAGCGGGAGAGGCAGCCCACGAAAACGTGTCTCACTGTGCTGCTCACCCAGCAAGCATTAACCGGGGCCCCATCCTAGGCCACCGCGTGCCAGATGCTGACATGAGGAGGACAGGGGCACAGCTGTCTTTCTCCAGTTTTGAGGACAAACAGTGCTTTAGGCAAGAAATAGGCGATTGCCAGTCTATGGATGTTTTTGACCCAACGAAACGGCAATCTCACGTAACAAACCTGCCACTTTTCAGTACTGTCCCTTAATTCTGGGGGATATAAAAGGCAAGTTTATAGGAACCCAAAGGGGAGAAGCCTGGAAGGGATTCACAGAGGAGGCAATATGGGAACCAAGTGTCAAAGGTTCCATGGAAAGAGAGAGGCAAAGGTTCTAGAAAGGTCTAGCCTGTGCAAAGGAAGGTATTCACGGTTTGTGTGAACAGAAAGAAGATTCTGGTGCAACTTGCTTTGGGAATAAAAGTATGGAAGTGTGGAGGTTGAGGGTGGAAGTCAGCCCACTCTTCATGTTAAGGAGTTTCATTCTGCCCTCTTAGAGCCATTGATGCCACGGCTCCATGTTCTAGAAGGAGGACTCAAGTAGCAGGGCAGAGGTTGGCTCAGAGGAGGGGAGGAGGTGGGAAGCTAACTTCAAGTAAGTAGGTCATGAACTGCAACCCTAGAATAATTTTTAAACTGGGGTTCTGGAGCACTTTTCATGGTTTCCATTGTCCTCCTCTTACCAAGTAAGCTGAGAACTCTAGCGAGCTGGGGCGGCAGAGGGATGGTTTCCAGGAAGCTTGGCCCCTGGGCTGGATGAGCCTGAAAATGGATGTGAAGCCCGCTTCCTCAGCTGTCGCTCGGGAAGTGGGTCTTGGTCTCTTCCTCGCAAACTGTGCTCCTCCAAACACACCTGGTCTGTCTCGCTCCCCCAGGCTCACCTTGGTGCAGAAGGCTAGATGTCCCCCATCAGAGTCACGGCTCATTTGCTTCCATGCTGTTAGGCTGAAGCACAAACCAGCCATCTGCTGTTGCCTGAGTGGAAAATTAGGAGCTGCCTCTTGGTTTGTAGCTGAGCCCCCCACTGCTGTGGGGAGAAGGGTGCAGGTAGGGTCTCTAAGAAAGGAGCAAGGGATATTATCAGCCCCACCCCCTCCAGTATCCCCAGTGAGGCTATGGAGCATCCTCGGCAGGGCAGCAGGAGGTGGCCTAGGGCGGCACAAACACCTCTGACCTGCAGCTCCTCCGAAGACCGCCTTGGCCAGGATGCCTGGCATCTTCCTCCAGGTCAGCCCTGCTCAGCTGTTTGGCCTCAGGGCTCCTGACCTGTCTGGGATTTTCTGTGTTTTTTCATCAGCAAGAGGCAATTCCTGGCTCATGTGATAGCAAGCTGTCTGGGTGGGGACTGACATTTTTGTCATCATCCTCACCAAAATTCCAGAGCAGCCCTTTTGCCCAGCTTGGGAGAGGAGCCTCCCCTGTCCAATGGGGGCGGGGGTGCTTCCTGTTACGGCGCCCTTCATGAGACAGGAAGGGACGACAGTGCCTGGGCACAGAAAGGCAGCAGCTGGTGCTCCTGGCTGGGTAGCTGGGCCCACGCCGTGCTTCTTTCCAGCCCCCCACCTCTGGCTGGCCCTGGTCGGTGTCCCCTCTAGCCTCTGCCTTTCTTTCATGCTCAGGGTGGCCTGGCTTAAGGGCAGAGCTGGGGCCAGAAAAGCCCCCACATGTCCCAAGTTCCCTGACTTGGTTTCCTGTAGGCATTGGAGCTCTAGTTGCAGGCAAGAGGCAATCCCCTAGGCACACGCGAGGCCACCCTCATGTCTGATGGAGACACTTCTCATTGGGAGGCATTGCTCTGTCATCGTCATGCTTCAGTGAGGCCCTCGGGTGCTCCTCCACGGGGCTCCTCAAGCAGCTTTTAACCAACGTTACTCATGAAGCGAGCCAGCAAGTGAACATTCAGTCATTCAGCCAACATTTACTAAACCACAGACAACTCGGTGTCAGGCCCTTTGGGCTCTCGGGATGAGCATCAGTGATCTGGAGTTACCTTCCTTCCCTGATGCGGCTTGTATCCCAGTGGGTGGAAATCAACAATCAGGGACAATGTAATATATAGGTAAAGACGAGATAGTACTTCCTCTGGAAAAATTGTAGCAGGTAGCAGGGAGCTGGCGTGCTGGGGAAAGGTAACAGTGTTACACGCTGTTGTGTGCGGGGAGGGTGGGGCGTTCTTCCTGGGAAGGAGAACTGATCAGGAGTAGAGCCACAGCTGAGAACACAAAGGTGCAAGGAGGAGACTAGATCCCAGGCCTCCTGCCCCTGGCACAGTGTTCTTTGTACCAGTGGCCGAGCACGAGTGGGAGACCTCGTCAGATGCCCCAGCTCAGAGGCCATAGCCACAAAGAGCTCCGCGCCCAGCTGCACTGAGAGCTGCAGATGGGGTGGGCTTTGGGCTAACCAGTCCCAGGCCCTCTGCTCCAGGTATTGCCATGGGCTCTGCAGTCTCCCCATCCCCCACCACCAGTTTCCCTCCCTCTCCTGGACCCCATCCCACCCTGAGTCAACACTGGGTTTTGTGCATGTGGAACCTGGCAAGTGAGCCTCCTCCAAAGAGAGAACTGGCTGCCCCTTAAAGTCAGTGACGACCTGGTGACAAACTTCATGCAGTCCAAAGGAGCTCTGGGAGCCTCCCTGCTGGAGAGAGCCTGAGGCCACAGTGCTTCCTCCAAGCCCCTGCTCTCATTACCCAGAGGCCAAGCCTCTATTCAGGGAAGCCCAAGGAAGGAAAATTCACTTGGAAACTGATGCTTAGTCCTTGGCAACCTTGAGGCAGGCAGCGTGTCTCTGTTCCTGCCCTAGAGCCCTGCACTCCAATTCTGAGGGTGCAGAGATACTCCCCTGCCTGTGGGAACAGCCCCAGCCAACCTCAGATGGGGTTACGTGTTACGGGGATGCAGACTTGGGTCACCAGTTCCAAGAGATGTGGCCAGGCTATGCCTTCAGACAGCCCTCTCAACTGGACATATGCTTTAAGATTCAGTAATGCTGCTGGCAGCTTGGCCTGAATGGTCACAGGGCGTATTGATGTCCTCTCATTTAGGATCTAGATCGTGACCAGAGTCTTGTCTTTCAAAGACCCAACCAGGGATCATGTCCACTTGTATGTCTCTAGCACTCATTCGACTCATCCATCCCATCAAACCAGCCCTCCTGTAGTGTTATCGACGCCCCGGCAACCATCCGTTAACTCCTTTTTTCAAGCAAGGAGGCCACTGCCGATTTGGCACTGGCATGGCTGCTAGCCATTTGCCCGGGCTGGGGAGCTCTTGCAGGAACAAGATGGTGGTCAAGTGTTTGTGCCAACAAGCAAGAGGGGCCTGTGCTTTCAGCCCTCCTGGGTCAGAAGAGCAATGTGCATTACAAAAGGAGCTTTCTCTACCTGGGGGTGGGGGGTGTTTGTTTTAAAACTGGATTTGCAGGGTTTCCTGGAGAGATTTGCGCAGTAGAGGAAATTAGGGGAGTCTTGGCTGGGTACTATGTCTTCCTTTCATTTGATACAAGGATAGATCTCAAGGCTACCCCCAACCTCCTCATCCTTCTCTTTGTTCCTGGGATAGGACCGCCTTTGGAGGTGTCCTGTGTGCATCCCCTCTCAGGGGGATTTTAATTCGCAGAGTGCTGGTGTGTGTCAGGGAAGCAGGGTGCTCTAGGGAGAAGAATATGGGCTTAGAGTCAGAGCTCCGGGCACTCACCACGTGACTTTGGAGGAGTCGGTGGACTTCTCACCACCCCAGGCCCCCAGTTGTAGACTGGAGGTGATGGCAGCTAACCCTGGTAGTGCCAGGAATGATGCAGTGAGCTGGCAAAGGTAGAATGCCTGTAGTGTCCAGTAAATGTGCTCTTTCCCCAGTGGAGGAGACTTCCCAAAGAAATCTCACTTACCTGAAATGCATGTTGATTCCTCTCTTTCTAAAGGCAAAGAAGTCACCTTCAGGTTCCCATTTCCATCCCAGCCACTTAACAACAGTGCGGCCTCAGGTGAGTTAGAGCCTCTCTGAACCTCAGCTGCCTCATCTGCGAAGCGGGATTATGAGACCCACCTCGCAAGGCTCTGAGGGCCACACATGTACGATCACAGCACAGTGCCTGGTGCCAGGGGACACAGGTGCAGACATGGGTGCCCAGGGGAGGTCACAGCCCCAAAGGCCTGCCCGAGTCTCAACTCTGAGCATGTCATTTCCAGACCCCCTCGAAGGAGGTGGTCTCTATTCTTGGCCTCTCTTGCTCTTGCCCTGAGCATATCCCTGGGCACCCAGGCCCTCAGCCTGTCCTATGATATTTCTCCCCTTGGGACTCATCAGAGGGGAATGTCAGCCCCAGTGGGCCCAGGAGACCTCTTCTGGCCCTGCTCCCCTTCCTGTGAGCCCTCACCTTTGAGGCCCTAGCACCTCTGCCCTTACCCTGCCTGAGCTGTGTGGGCTTCATGATGTTCACAGCAGGCCAGGTGGCCTCGGGTGGCCCAGCTCCGTGGGGAAGCACGGCCTGGACACCTGGTATCCATGGCTGAGTTCCAGGCCCGAGGTGGGTAGTTAGCATTGTTCGGACACAAAGTGGCCCAGGAACCTGCTTCCTCCTTCATTCAGAGCAAAGGCCTTGTGCCAGGAGTGTAGAGATGAGTAAGACACAGTCATGACATCAGGGAGTTCAGACCAGCAGGGAGGTGGGCCATCTCAGAGCTGGTGAGAAAGGCTCCAATATGCAGCCAGGGACTGATGGTCACGTTCTAAGCTCAGTGCCAGGATTGCCTCCAACATGCCTCCTTGGGGGGCACAGCTGTCTTCAGCCTTTGGGGATGATGCAGAGGACATCAGCATATGCCATACATGTGCCACATGTTTGAATCTGGGTTGACCCATTGAAGAGAAGTCCGTGTGTTCATTTTGGGTAGGCCACATCATTCTTCCTCACGCAGAGGAGGGCACCCAAGTGACCTAGAGTTTCCCAGAGTGAAGGCCATCTAAGAAAAGAAAAAAGAAGTTCTAGAACATAAAAATGTAAAAACCATGCAAGTGGCAGTGTTTTGGACTCATTAACTCTCCACAAAGTGCTTCTTGGGGGCCTCGCACCATTTGAGGTGTGGCCTGAATTCTGTGGTGACCCTTTTTTGCAGGGATGGCAGTGGTCTCCCCATTTTACAGCTGAGGAAGCTGAGGCTCACAGAAGGGAAGTGGTATATGTGAGGTTAATCTAATGTAATGTGAGATAATGGCCCACCAGAAATGTCCAGCCATTCCAGCTTGTTCTAATTAATGAAAAAATAATTAGAATTCAAAAGGGGGTGGAGGATAGTAAATACTCCAGTTCTTTAAAATACAAGAATATTGAAAGCTATATTAAGGTTTGCAAAAACAGCCCCATGGCCCTCCGGAATAATCAATTCTTTAAAAACTAGTGACCGGGATGTGATCATTTCTGGCCACATCTTTTTGTTGGAACAAATTCCCAAATTATAAATTCTCCTCTTGACCAGCCTGCCTTTTAGAGCACGAATCTCCTTGCTGAGAATGCCTGGATCTCACTCTGAGGTCAATACCAGGACTGACTTTTCTGGAAACTTTTCTGGAAGTTTCTCCACAAATTGATCTCTGTCTTAGGATCCTAAGAGCTTAATCGGCTCAAGCAGTGCTACTCAGGGTGTGGTTCATGGGCAAGTACTGGTCTGTGACCCAGTGAGCACAGCGAGTGAGAGTGAGCATTAGACCTTGTAGAGCAATCTGACATTGGCTCACATCCAAGTGTGTGATCCTGTTTCCAGTAATTCACATTTACTATGTCCGGAAATACTAGGTCACAACAGACTCTAGTTTTTTTTTTTTGTTTTTTTTTTTTTAACCAAAACCTGGTCATTTGCCACTTATCGTTTGAGGAGCAATGAACTAGCATTGGTCTAGCTGGTCATGTCCTCACTCTACTGGAGCCAATAAGGCATCCTGTTGACAAGAAACAGAAGAGAACCTCTAGCCCTCAACGCAGTGTCTGCCTCCACACTGGTCTCTGGGGTGGGCTTCTGGGGGGCTTCCCCTCACCTCTTGAGATGAGTTCCCATCACCGGGTCTCGCTGTGGCCTCTCCAGAAAGTCTGGTCCACCTCTTGGTATTGGCCAGCGGTGACTCTGGGTTGGTTTCCATCAGGTTGGGAAGGGCATGTGGGAGATCCAGTGCTGCTCTCCTTAAGGGTGCTTTCGTTATTCTTAGGAAAGCTATGGCAATGGCCTGGGGCTGTGATTGCAACTGGGAGAAGGGAGCCTTTTTGGCCCATACTGGAAGACCAGGTCTTGTCTTTATCCTAAATCACCTGGCTGGGTGACCTGGAGAGTATCCAGTCTTGGCAGAGCAACTGAGCAAGTCCATGAGCGCATAGATGGGTCTGGTGACATCTGCCAGCTACCTTCCAGCCCTCGTCGTGCTTCTGTAATTGCTCCTTAAGCCAGGGTTGCACAAAAGCTCAGCAGCACAGAGTGCTTATTAGCTAAGTGGTTAATAAGGTCCCATTAGGGATTTGTATTTAAAGCCTCAGAAAGTACTGCCTCAACCCCTTCTAACTCAGGGGAGGCGATAATTGCATGTGGGTATCACGGCATCACCGTGGAGTGTTTCTGGGAGAGCGCCTCGGAGCCAGTTCACACACCGGGCCTCGGGAGACAGCCACACAAGGGCAGTGTGGGCAGGGAGGTAAATCTGACCTCCTCTGTCTTCTCCCCCTCTTTGATTTGATATAAACCCAAGAAGTATTTAGTATTCTTCAATCCCTTTCTGAGGGGCCTGGTCCAGGGGAGGTCCCAGTGGGGTTTCCGGTGGGGGTCCCGGTGAGGGATGGAACGTCAAGCAAACAATGGCTTGTTGTCCTGAGTCAGGGCACCTGAACCTTTCTTAGAAACAGGAGCCAGGTTTCTTGGCATTCGTGACATCCTGTGGATGGCAGAGAGTGTGCTTGGAAGCAGAAGGCTAATCTCCTCCAGGTTGGGGCAGCTCGGGAGGTGAAGTAGGTCTGGGCTAACTGGCCTGGCTGCTGTGCTCCCAGGAAAGGACAGGCTTCGTAAAGTGTGAGAGGCTCCCGTCTCTCTGAGCCATGGGCTCAGACCCCCTACCTAGCAGGCCCATGGCCTGCTACAATCCCCAGGAGCCCCACATGTGGTCCAAGGGCTCCAAAGGGCCATGAGTGTGAGGGCTTCCTTAATGAGAAAGGGAGTAGGAGCTCCTGGATCTTGTCATTCTCCCCAGCTTGCCTGGCGTCCTTCCCTCTCCTTCCCCCTTGCAGTGGCTGTGCTGTTGCTAGAATCCAGTAGGCTGGTCTCAGCTTCTGAGGCAGGGCTCTGCTACCAGGAGCTGGGGGACCGCAGCCATTCGCTTTGCCGTCCCCCGAACTTCCTTCTTTATCGCTGAGGCTTTCGTAGCAGATTAGACGTGGCCTCCCAGGGGCAGCCATGGGTTTAGATGGAGGCCATTCCTCCGGCGGCTCCCGTTACTGTTGTTGGCCGTGGCAATGGTTGTTCACCTGAGCCACAGTTCCCTCCGGCCACGCCTCCCAGAAGCCAGATTCCAAGGCTGGGGAGGGTTGGGACCTGCCTTCTTCCCGGATCCTGGGTCAGAAACGGTGCTTCCAGAACCATTTCTGTGCTGTGTGCCTCCCTGAAGAGGAGACTGCAATGTTCCTGGGGTGGCATTCATAGCTGGTGGGAAAGGGGGAGCAAGATAGGATTTGCTGGGGGTATTTGGGTGACCAGCCCATGTGTTCTTGGGCTTTCAGATCCACCTCTGCCCCAGCCCCAGGACACGTGGATGGGGAACCAGAAGCTCACAGTTGCGGGGTGGCCGTCATGCCCTCCAGAGCACAGGCACTGGTGACCTGCCACCAGTGGTGCCCAGAGCTGACATGCCAGCAGCAGCCTGGGGCCTCCAGGCACAGCTGCCTGGAGCACGTGGTGGAGTTCCATCCTGTAGCCTCCTTGCTCCCATTCCAGTCACTGCTTCTGTAGGCCGGGGGGCACCCAGGTTAGATGCCACCATGGCTCCCCAGGGCTGTGGAGGCTGCAAGGCAGGCTGGGAGCTGCTACACTCGGGAAACGGAGAGGGAGGAGTCCAGCTCCTCCTGGCCTAGCCCCGCCAAGTGCCAGGCACTTGAATCCCCCTTCTCTCCCTCAGTTCATACCACACGTCCATGAGGCAGTCCCTGTCCTACTAAATAAGGAAATTGAGCTCAGCAGCTGAGAGTTTTGTGTCCAGTCTCAGAACTGGTTCATGATGGAGCTGGGGTCCTAACGCTTGCTCCCAGTCTGGGGTGCGGGAAGCGGTTCTGCTCATGATGCCTGTGAAGCAGCAGCTCCCAGCCCTCCAAAGACGGGGATGGCTATGGGAGGGTGGCTGTTGGTCAGCTGTCTATCTGTGAGGTCCTGGTTCCTCAGGGTGTGAGGGCACCCAGGCTGGGGCTCAGGGGACCTGAGAGGAGTTCTGAATCTTGCACATATTTGCTAAGTGGCCTGGGAGAGCTCCCTTCCTCTCTCTGGGATTCATTTATCCCATTTGTGAACCAAGAAACTCAACGAATCCTGCAGGCCTTGCACGCCCACGGAGCTAGTTCTCCAAATCACCTGGCTCACCCCAGGCCCCAGCGTTCCATCTCTCTCCTTCTCTCCATCTCCAGAATGCCTGCTGCCCATTCCAGGCTGGTTTTGCATCTCCTGGGATGCCGGGCACTGTCTGCATGTGGGTGTGGAGCCCTGTCCCACATCTAGCCTGTTTGCGCTTTCCTTCTCAGTCCTAACTGGCCTCTACCTTTGTCTCTGTCTCCTCTACCTCTGCTCTCGGGTAGCTGACGGTAGGGAAAGTGTCCAGCGGAATAGGGGCTGCAGCCGAAGTCCTGGTCAATCTGTACATGAATGATCACAGACCTAAGACCCAGGCCACCTCTCCAGACCTGGTAAGGACGCACACCCCTCAGCCTTCACCTGCAGACACCGGCTCTGGTCTCCCAGGGAGGACGGCCTGGCCCACCTGAGGCCCCCGGCTTGTGGACAGGAGGTGTGACAATGGGGTAGACCGGTGCCAAGTTTAGAGGGAGGGCTGCATTTTCTGACCAATTAACCTCACTCGGCTCCCCTCAAGGTCGTTTCACAAGGCAGAGCCTGTCCCCTGATGTCTAGAGAGCTCAGTGAAAAGGCCAGGCAGGCCACCCCTTACCCTCAGTATTTGGTGTCCAGCTCAAGTAGCCCTTTGGCACAAGACTGAGAATCCAGTAACAGAGAGATACTCTGCCCTCTGAATTCTCCCTTTTCCCCAACAAGACTGACTGCTGCTTCACCAGCCCTTTGACTGGACAGTTCTTTTGCTTTCCTTTTGATACATCCACCCAATCCCCCAGGCACATGGCTGCCTTGCCCTCATCCCCTCTCCTGCATTTAGGAATTTGCCTGGCTGCCCCAGGGGCTGAAAGACACAGCCTCTTGCTTTCCTGCCGTTCTCTTTAGCAGTTTGACTGCCACAGGCTTTCCCGGCTTGGCCTAAGTCACTGCAGGGGGACAAGAGTGTGGAAAGCATCCTTTTGGGGACCTCACTCTAGACCCAGGCAGCCTTTCATCCCTGGGGCAGATTGCTGGGGTCAGCGTCGCTGGGCAGGCCTGTTTGTGAACGATGCCCCCTCTGTCAGACAGAGCGACGCCACTCCCACCTGAACCAGAGCAGCCAGCCTCTGAAGGAACCCCTCCCGGGCCTCCTTCGTCATCAGCTGGCCTGTCTGGGTGCAGAATTAACAGCAGCCCACATGGGGCTGGGGTTGTTGGGGTCTGTGCCGGGAGCGGATCCTCCGCCCCTCGGCCTCGCCACAGTGCCCGCCGTCAGATGAGTGGCAAACAGGAGCCCAGGGGGTCCCCACGATTGAGCTCAGAACTTTCCAGGAGTCTCGGTGTCAGCCCCTGACGCATGGCGCTCCTCTCCCGCCACCCTCTGTCCCCAGGAATCCATGCGGAAGGTGTTCCCCCTGAACCTGGGCGGCAGCGACACCTGTTACTTCTGTAAGAAGCGTGTGTACGTGATGGAGCGGCTGAGCGCAGAGGGACACTTCTTCCACCGGGAGTGCTTCCGCTGCAGCGTCTGCGCCAGCACCCTGCGTCTGGCTGCCTACGCCTTCGACGGCGACGAAGGTAACTCCCGGGGGCCGGGGGATGCTCCGGGCTCTGCTCTGGCCTCCTGTCTGCTCGAGCCTCTGGGGCGCCCCCGTTCTTCCCAAGGACTGTGGCGTCCCCGGGAGCGCTGTTCTGGGAGCTGGGAGATCCTGCTATAGCAAGAGCCCCCCCCCCCGAGTGGGCCCGGGGTCCATGAGTGCCTGCTGTGTACCAGCCTCGGCCAGCACCTACTGTGTGCCAAGTGCTTGACATACGTGTCCTCGCCAGTACCCCCACCTTCCGTGGCCCCGTGTCAGCAAGAGGATCACACCTGGCTTGTAACAAGGGTTCAGTAAATGATGACTTATTAATGTTTTTATTTACAAAGTATGTCTTACAAAAGCGATCATAATAGCAACCTCTCCTCTGAGAAGCAGCCTACCAGGGTGAACCGTCAGCCAGCCACGTAACCTTGGGCCTGTTACCTAACTTCTTGGTCCCTCCATTAGGTCATCAGTAAAATGAGGATAATAATAGCTCTTAGCTCATGAGGTTGTTGCGAGGTTGTTCAAGGGAGTCAATTTGTGGAAAGTGTTCAGAGGAGTGTCTGCTATATTGTGATTGCCGGATAACTTTTTCCTGCTGTACCATTGTTACTGAGGTTACTGTTGTAGCGGTGAACAAAGAAGTCTTTTCTGGAAGGTGCCCAATGGTCCTGGGCTGTGGCCCGGGATCCAGGGCAGCCCTCACCTGGGTCTTTTCCTCTCCTTCACTGCTGCCATCTGCTCCGAGACTTTCCCACCTTCAGGGGCCCCCAGAAGGACTGTGAACTAGAAGCAGTGCTGATACTCAGAGCTGTCCATTCTGCAGCCTGGCCGCTGGCCTTGGGAAGGAACTTGGCCTCAGTTGGGCTTAGGGATTATCTGAGGGCTTCGGCCCCGTCCCCGGCATCTCCCACCACTCCCCCATCGCTACAGCCTGCTCAGAGGCAGCAAAGGGTCCTGCTGCCTCATCTCAGTGTGGCTTCTTTAAGGCACGTGGCAGAAGCCAAGTTTGAGGCCTCCCGGGCTTACTCCCAGTATTGGTATTCCCTGACCTAGACAGGGACAGACATTGGCATGTGTCTGCCGTGGCTCTAATTTACAGGAGAAAACCCATGCATGCCAGTATGTGTATGTTTCATTTTACAGGCAAGTTTTTCTGCAAGCCTCATTTCATTCACTGTAAGACCAACAGTCAGCAGAGGAAGAGACGAGCAGAGTTGAAGCAACAAAGAGAGGTATGTTTTGTCCTGAAAGCGCTGGTGAAACAGGGAAGGCCCCTGGATAGGAGACCCATTTTCAAAGGTCCTTGCGAGCGAGGCCAGAGTTTCTGGGCCTGGAGGGGCTGAGACCAGCAGGTGAAGCCGGGAGTCTTTACTGTGTGTGCGGGGTGGAGGGTCTCTGCCTTAGCCCCTTCTGCCAGCCTCTGGGCTTATCCCGTTCTGGAGGCTGGCTTGCCGGTAAGCGGTGGTGCTGGCTTCTGAAAAGAGCTTTCCCATGTCCCAGGGACGGGACTATATGCCCAGCCATGGGAAAACTACAGGGTCCCCCATGCCTGGGTCCCACATGTCTGCAGTGTTGTAGGCAGGGATGCCCCTCCCTCCCCGTGGAGCCTGCCTTTCCCTAAGTCCACCCACCCCGGGGCCCCCGCCTTGGATGTCAGCAAAGTGACAGGCTGCTGGGTGTGTGGCCAGTTGGTGACAGCGTCCCCTCTGGCAGCTCTTAGCAAATACCTTCTCCACTGCTTGATGAACCACTGCTCCCCCCAGCAGGGACCCACACCGTACAGCTCTTTTTGGATTACACGAGGCATAGAGGCTTAATGTAGAAAAACGGATGGACAGAGTATGTAAAGAAGGAAAGTTAAATGGTCACTACTCTGTTCTGAGAAACCCGTAACTAACATTTTGTGAAATTGCCCTATGTGATTGTTTTTTCACCTAGTTGGAATCCTATCACTACATTTTCATATCCTTCTTTTTATGTAGCAACAGTATACCAAGAGCCATTCCCCATAACATTACAAATTCTTTCGAAGCATCATTTTTGATGCCTGTAAAAGATGGTTAATAATTTATTCAACAAGCCCCATGTTGCTGAATGTTTATGTTGTGTCCTATTTTTACCTTATAACTGTTTTCACGGCAAGTATCTTTGTACAGCCATCTTCGTCCCTGTTTCAAATTTCTTAGGACAGATCATTAGAAAGCATTTCTGAGTCAAAGGATGTGTGAGCCTTGTGTTTTTTGTTTTGTTTTGTTTTGTTTTGTTTTTAAAGGATGTGTGTTTTGAAGGCCTGTGAACCCTGTGGTCATGTTGGCCCCAGGAAAGCAATGCTCGTATTCAGCCCCCCTTCAGCAGTGTACAGGGGCTCTTACTGGGGGGGCTGGTTGCAAAATGCAGGGTCTGCCATGGTCTATTTGTGTGGGCTCTCTTCGTCTGCTCCATCGGTGGGGTGCTTCATGAGAATCATGGCCTGATGCCCCCCCTCCTCTCCCTCTCTTAGGAGGAGGGACCGTGGAAGGAGCAAGAGGCCCCTCGGCGAGACACCCCCGTGGAAAGTTCTTGCGCAGCGGCTGCCATTGGCACGCCCGAAGGCAGCCCTCCAGGTATCACCAATTCCTCCTTTAGGAAGGCGCTAAGCTGGCCCCTCGTGCTGCCGTGGGGCCTGCTTCACGTTCCCCGGAGCCTGCTTAACTGGATTTGGGGACTCCTGTGTGCAGCCGGCCTGCATTTCAGGGACAATGCTTACAACTACTGCTACACGTATGAGCTCTTGAGCCTCGGGCTGCCCCTCCTCTGGGTGTTCTCCGAGGTCCTGGGCTCCATGTACGGCGAGTCCGAGGAGTCCCTGGAGACCATCCGCAGCTGGGTGCTCAGATGCTTCCCGGTGAAGCTCCCGTGAAATGCCGAGCACCCCAAAGGGCCCTCACATTTCCGGTTCAGGCGGCAGTCTGAGTGTAGGTGGCCAGGACTCTGGCTGGCAGCCTGACATTCTCTAGCCCATTCACTCCAAGCCAAAGAGCTTCACCCCGGCCCCCTGCGCCTGACCGCATCCGGGTGGACATCCCCTTCTGGTGCTGGGGCCGGACAACATGAAGGATGTTTTTTTATAGCTTTGTACTTCTTTTATACCAAAGCGAGCCATAGTTCTAGGTTTACATTTCAATTTTTAACTTTTAATCAACCAAGAGAAAGCATTTTTTTTTTCCCCAATGAGTGTCCGTTTTTCTCAACACGGTTTGAAGTTTATAACTGGTATCACGAATCCCCTCCACGGTGTAGTCCGTGGCCACGGTCGCTGCCTGCGACACTCATGGTTTGGGCTTTTATAGAAACAGAAGTGAGCGTGCCACCTTCTGATCAGTGCCTTTTGATGTATGTACCCTGGTACCACTTGTCCACAGGGACAGTGTTTTGGCAACACGAAAACGTCATCAGTTTTGAAGAAAAGAGTAGATCAGAGTAGAATTAAACCTTATGGAAGCACACGGCAGTATGTCGTTGGTGGTGATCTGTCCTCCCGGATAGAGGGGGACCTGTTTTGCACCCTGGTTTTGATGTCAGATTAGTAGCTTAAAGGTTTTTACCCTCATCACCAGACCACAGCCAGATGACCACGGGGTTTCGAGCAGATTGCTACAAACATACATGGTCCCTCCCTGTCAATGAGCACGGCTCAGAAGGCCCCAGGGTCCCCGGCCGTGCAGAGCTCTGGTGAGCTGGTGCCTTGCAGGAGAGGAGCTGTGCCCCCGCCCGGACCTTAGCCCAGGCTGCTGTCTGAGCCACGGCCACTCAGGGTCCGTAACGGTCAGGCTGAGGGAAGACTCTGCCCTCTTGCATCCTGTGCTTTGGGACTGAAGCCGTCTGTTAGCACCTCAGGGTATAGGATATCTGGGAAGCGTGACCTCCCCAATGAGCCCTGCTCACAGACATTCTGGTGGCTTAGCCACTCAGCTGCCACGTGGATCTGGCCAAAGCAGCCAGTTTGTATTCACACTGTCCTAGCAAAGGAAGGTATCTGACCTCCTGTGTCTTGACTGGCTGGGGAGGCTGGGAGCAGAAGCTGTTTGTTGACTGATATAAAGAAATATGCCCTACTGAGGGCAAAAACAGGCCTTGGGTCCACCCTACCTGTATCCTTCACTCGGGGCTTCCAGGGGGAGGCCTCTCCTCTCCACACCCTGCCCTGCCCCTACATGTACCTCTGCTGGGTCTGCTAGAACAAGGCTCAGGATGTCTAGAGTGGCCAGGCCGGAGATGGCTCTGTGCACTTGTGACACGAGAGAGCTCCTCTAGATTAAGGAGGGATGGAGCCTGGCATGCGTTAGGAGCTGAGGCGCTTGAGAGCTGGGAGATGACAAGTTTTATAGGGCAGGAAGAAGGGGAGAGGCATTTCTACCAAGCCTTCCTTGACATTCTTGGAGCAAACAGGGGCACGACTGTGTCCCAGCCTGTGGGAACTGGCACCTCTGTCCTCATTGGAACTGTTCTCAGTCCAATGACTTTTGTTGGATTTTTCCAAATTTTTGCTGGAATTTTCATATTCGGCATGGTGGGAGGAGCCCTGGAGTCATGCTGTGTTCGAGTCTAAAAGGAAATTCTTGAGGGCATGATGTGAACACGTGCACAGCCGTGTCCCAGCTTCTGTCTTCAGCCCAGGGTTGGTGGGGATGCTCTGTGGAGTTCTGCTCCGTGAACCAGAGTTAGACTCTCGGAGAATGTCATTTACAGCCATAAAGAGACTGGTTTGAATTACTCTGGTGAGACGGGGCGTGCCTGTCAGAAGCCCGAGATGTTTGTATGTTCTGAGGCTGTGAACCTTCCTGGTGGGCAGAACTGAAATGCCTGGTGATCCCAGGAGGCAGACGTCTCTCGGTCTCCGTAGCACATTCAAGAATGAGCATGGGACACTGGAGCCAAACTGGGACAAAGAGATCCTGGGGGGCAGGGGTTCCTGAGGATGCATGCCACTCGGAGGGGAGAGTGGGGAGCGCTGGCCTTGGCCAACTGCACGCACCCACTCTGGCCGATGGGTAGGCGGTCACTACCAGAAAGGTCCATCGGTCCTAAGCATCGGTCTGTTTGGGGAAGTTTCCCTTTTATCGATGGTTGCCTCATCTTCAACTCCTGTGCCTTTTGTGTTACCAGTCTTTTTCCCTTTTTTCCCCTACCCTGAACTAAATTCTCCTTTCTGTCTCTCTCTCTTGCCAACCTTACACTGTGGCCACCAGTTCGTTTCAGCCTTCCAGTGCTACACCCACTTCTTGGCTGACACACTTCTGCTCGGAGGTGACTGGTTTTCTTGCCAATTTTCAGAAAGTGGTACTAACACCTAACGTGCTTTCTGTGCCCCGTCCTCTGTGCCGCGGTCCTGGCCGTGCTAACTGCGAGCGTCTTGCATACTAACGGACTCATGCCATGGCCTGGGGGGTTGGTGACGTGGGGTGGCATTCTGCTGGAAAGCCATGTTTGACTCTACTTACCCCTGAGCCGGCCGCCTGGTCCACACCGGCAGCATGCCTGCCTCCCTGTGGCCCCCCGTGCGGCCTGTGTGCATGCCTTTCCCCTTGCGAAACCGCTTACCTTCCTGGGCCGGGTCCCCCAGCTGTGAGACAGCATGCCAGAGAGGGCTCTGTCCCCTGGGAAAAGAACTTCAGTCTAGTAGCCGCTGAAAAATACACACAGACAAGCATTCTTACCTCCATTCTCGTATGCAGGTTCTTGATCAAAACCATGGGTGACTCTTTGGGGAAAGGCTTCAAAAAAAATAATGCTCCCAGCCTTCATTGCAGGCTTGAGCCACCCAGGCTTTGTATTTTGAACATACCACCACCACGCCCCCGGCAAATCCTTTCCCAGCGCAGCCTCTGCTTTAGACACAAGGGCTTTGCTGTGGTTCTTCTGACTGTTCTTGTCTCATCAAGCCCCAGAGGATGCAGAAGCTTCCACTGGAGCAATCGTTGCTCCAGGCCAGGGGTGGCTGTGAGACACGACTCCACTCAGCCCTGGCCTGGAGCAGCCCGCGTCCGTGCCGCCATGGCTCTGCTCAAAACACGTGTGCCCGCTGACTCATTACCCAGAGCAGCGGGACGTTCCAAGTGCTCTTAGAGGGGGACGCCGTGCCGAGGCTGGGGGAGCTGTTGCACGTGGGGCCTCGGGCTCTCAGGTGGAAGGGGGCGTCTGTCCTGCATGCGGCCGGAGCACGCCGACCTCTCGGCCTGTCTGCACGGGCCCGCATGCTGCATTGCTCGCTGCCCTGGTGCAGTCTAGCCAGTACGAAGTCATCGCTCTTGTCTTGTCTTCTCTTGCAGAGTCTCCCTCCCTTTGTAGAATGTCAACCAGAGAGGGCTCTCCTTCCCTCTCAGCCTTCTCTTTAGCTAGCCTCCCCCCTCACCCGCCCATCTCCTCGCAACGCATGTCTGTGACCTTGGGTAGCCATTTACAGTGCCACATGGGACCCTGTGTTTTGCACACAGCCAACGATGTTTAGCTTTATTTATGGTATTTGATGCTGTAAATGAAAATAAATATGGTTCTTTATAAAGCGCATTGTTTCCTCTCTTCTTTGCCATGGAAGCTGCTCCATCCTCAAACACAGGGGCTGGTTTAGGGGGACAGTCTTTCCTAAACTGCTGGTGGGGCCTGCACTCATGGTGACGTGGGACGCTCTGGGGCTGCGCTGGGCAACTCTGAAAGGAAATATTACCCAGGGGTAATATTTGGAAAAAGGTCACCAATGCTCCTGGGCCAGGCTTTTGGGTCTCTTTCTTGAAAACTCATGGTACTTTTTCTGTGTAGATTCTGGGCATAGCTGGGTGAGGGTCAGTGTCACCTGAGCTGTGAAAAAACAGACTATCTTAATAGCGCCCGTGCTCATTTCCCCCCACCCAAACCGCACACCTGTTGGAGAGCTTTCCTGAGGAACCGTTCACTAACCTAGGTTCCTAAGTGACCAAGGTTGCTACAGGTCTTACGCTGGTCCAGCTGAGTGAGAGGTGAAAGGCAAAAGGACCAGACATTGGTTTCAGAATGGCGGTGAACATGGCAGGTGTGCTTATCCAGAGGGAGAGCCATTTATGATCCTAAGAAGCCTCCCGTGAGCCCAAAGGCTCAAGTTACTCGGTGTCTTAGGCAGCAGAGCCATTCTGAGGACAGAACCCATGGCAGGCTCTGACCCAGTTCCAGGCTGGTTTCCCCGTACAGGAAGGATCCAGCATCTCACTTGGTTAGTATGAACAGTGCCAAGGAAGTCTCGTCCTCAGCTTCCTTGGGTTGGGATGCCTGACATCGCCAGGCTGGTTGTAGCTGGGCTTCTGATGCTGCGATGAGCCTCCCCTGAGGGGCATCTCTGGGGCCTTGGGCCTCTGCGCTCCGCTGCCAGCTCCTGGAAGTGTCCTCTGAGCTGCCTGGGGTCATGTACCCAGGTGAGATACTCTTTCTCTTCCATAAAAGGAAAGGTGTTAGGCACTGAAGTTAGGAGCTCTGTTGGACAAGTGATTCATTCCTTTATTTATTCATCTGTTCCAGTATTTGTTGAACACACACCATACTCTAGACATATTCCAGGTCCTAGGGCTGGAGCAGTGAACCACACAAAGTCCCTACC